TATTCTGGATCCCCATTCGGTTGCATTATATTATTTGATTTAAATTCTTGCCAATGTTACACAATTTGTGACTTTACTAAAAGATTTCTCTTGTCCGTCAGTGTTGTATTTGTCTTATATAAAATATAAAACTCTCATACACGTTACATTTGGATTGGTGTATTTCATTGTCGGTGTATGGTGTATGGAAACAAGCTTTTAAAGTATTCCCAAGTTGCAAAACATTGTTTTCTTACACTCAATCTTCAATTTTCACTACACAAACCAGTTTTATAACATAAGAGAAATTTTATCCTCATTTAACTAAGACGCTGTTTGGTACTTTAAACATGTTTTGATGCGTATTGTTTTTACTTACTTCAGCTCCTCGAGACTGATATATTATTTCAGACATAATTTTTCCTGATATATATATCTCTCATAGAACTAGTTAAAATAATTTTAGGTACAAACACTCTTCTGCTTGCTTTGATTTCACCAAGGACACTTTGAAGAATGATGGAGAACTAAGTATGCATATATAATACATTTATACTGAAAGTATCTAAGTATGTAATGTCGAATCCCACGTTAGCATGGATAAAATTAGAGGCTCCGTTTTCTTTCGATAAAGAAACTTATATGGACGGTTCCTTGATGGGCTCGGAGGGTTTTGAATGCAAGTTCCAGGTGCGCGATAAAATAAACCATACATTGGTATAAGGGGATAGACGCCACCTTTTTTGGGATTTAATAAAATCAGTGGCAAGTGACCAGCGATGGATTTCAATTCATATATCAGGTTGAAGCTGTAGATTATAATTTGTGCAAAACCAAATTAACTAAAAATTGTGCGGTAATCTAGTTGCGAATAGCAAATTGGACGACCGTCTATCAAGTGAAAATAATTTTATTACAAAAGCAATCAGGGAAATTACTACTTATCGATTCGTTAGAGATCATCCGACGAGGGTTCTAACGAATTAATCGATGATGAAAATTAATTTAGCTCGTGTAATTGAATCCGGCGATGGCTCACCGAAGCGCTGTATTTGTCAACATGACAGCTTGCCTCTTACGCAACATCGCAGTGTAGAATAGAAGTGGTAGTATATGAGAGAGCGCAAACCTCCCCCCGCGTCAGTATCGCGCGGTCGCTATAGCAGCTCGGCGCCCACTGGCGCGCGCCAAATTCAAACCGTTCGAAATTCAAACTTTGACTTTTTAAATCAACACAGACCACCGACCATTGACTTATCCCCGACTGACATGTGACAGTGACGACAATTGACAGTGTGACTTGACTTGACTTGACTTGGATTTTATGACGGACTTTTTCTATATCCTGGCGGCGGCGGCGGCACCAAGTTTGTATTTTTTTTTATTTAACAATGATTTTACATCTAGTTTGATTTTTGCAATGCTTAGCCCTATTTATTTTGTCATTACGTGTAGCGATCTATTACTAAATTTGTCGAATAAATTACAAAAAATATAACGGTAAAATGTAACAAATGATTATAATAAAATCATTGTTCATTACGTTTGCGCACAACACTAACAGCTACTAAAAATATGGCGGCTGTTACATCAAATTCCCTTTAAAATACACTAAGGTTTTTCACATCAGCAATCTGACAAGTGGTGCGCTAGTATGTTTGAACCCACGACCTCACGTACGCGAGTGTGACATCCCAACTACTAGATATACTGGCTCTAAATAAAGACGTAACCACGGCTACAAAAAGACGATCGTCAAATAATACCGGCGTTAAATAATTTGGTACCCACTGACGATATAATTTAAAGGTTAATTTTAAATAATGTCTTCTAATTTTTAAACTACGTTCTTATAAACTTTTTATTTTATACGTAGGATACCAACAGGAGATTGATAAACAAATAAGATAGCGTTAAAAAGAGGAGCTTATAAAATGTTTTTCAATAGTGACTATTATGAGTTTATTGTATTAAAAAAACCATTTCAAATAAGAATAATCTTTTTTTAGTTTTTTTCCGTTCCGTCATTCTGGTACCGATTTCTAAAATTCTTTTTGCATTGGGTTTGGTTTTGCTCCCAGGTGGTCTCATATTTTTACGATTCCCTTACTCAATCACAAATTGTATAAAACTAATCTTGGTCATCACTCTCTTATACCGAGAATAAGCAGATTGTATAACGAATGTGTGCTTAAAGATAAGACTATATTTAGCGATAGTATAAAAACTTTTAGAGCCAAAATTGTCAAACAATTTAATAATTCAAAGTAAAAATTCTACCATAATTTTATATAAACTCGATATAAATTGTTATTATTTTTATACATTTTTAATTTTCTTATTTTTCTTATTGTCTAATTGTTGTTTTTTTTTTGTTGTTTCATATTAGTATTCTCATACTTGTAATTATTATTGAGTTATCGTACACCTATCGTCTTTTAAACACGCTGTAACTACCTTTAAATGGAAACATGTAAATCGTAGTTCCTAAGTCTATTGTCAGTTTTTATAACAAAACAACATGTTATTCCGTTGGTGGTTCTATCAATAAATAAATAAATAAATATTAATTTCATTGGGATGGGACCTTCGACTTCGGAGATCTATTAGGGAAATCCACAAAGTGAAATTGAAAATTCATTTTCTATTTGATTTTGTCGAGCATTCTAAAAATTTTACTCTTATAATTTTTTTCCTAACCTATAACTGCAAAAAAGAAGTATAACTGCAAAAAACAAAGTAGATAGAATAGATTGCGATTTTCGTCGGTGTGAGGATAAGCCGTTTAGTTCAGTGGTTAGAGTGTCGGGGGCGTATTCACGCAGACGCAGATTGAAAACATAGCAGGGGCTATTTTTGTACAAATTTTTAAATTACGTCTTAGGTATAGAGAATAGCACTATAAAGATTAATATAATTTAAAGGTGTCGAGTTGGTTTATTCACATGTATATGTATATACAGGGTGGCTTTGTTCGGGCTCAGTAGTATAATCGTTTATTGAAATAAATACAACTTTTTTTTATAATTGCCATTCCATTGCCTAAAAAACAGAACTTGTTGACAATGCGGTAGTCATTCATAAATGCGTTGTATACTTTTCAAAAGTACTTGTTTGCGTGTTAGTTATGAATGATCGCGCGTAAAATAAATAGGTTGCCCATAAATCACGCACTTTTGAGATAAGTTCAAATGAATGTATTTAATTAATTACGAGTGATTTTAAATATTTAACGTTTTTATATAACATTATTTATGTCTAAAATTTAATAAAACAATGGACACACTTAGAAAAGCCTCCCTGTATGTACATTATAATGACAGCATTTGAAGCCAAACTGTGAGGGTCGATTAATATAGGATAATATCTTTGATATCGTAAAGAACAATTTCACCAAATTAATGCAATATACAAATTCGACAGATACGCACCTATCGATAAACACACAGTGAAAGAAAACCGGTCAGCGAAAGTGATTTCACTTTCACTTAAGATGGGTGTGGTTACCACATCGCCGGTGTAACTTAACCGTGGCTTATGGTCTTCGTTACACACGATAATTTCTAGTCGTTATAAGTTATCATCCTTATGTGTATATAATATACATAAATATTAAAGTATACACCGTTAGTAATACGCCAGTACCATAGTGCATAATCTGATTCGATATCAGGAATAATTTCATAAAGGTTTGCACATTCTGTTCATTACTAACGCACTACGTTCTGCAATAAAGACTTCATTATTTTTAGCTAATGTCACCATTTACTATTATTGATTTGTATACTATAATTATAAATTTAGTTAAGTTAATGGAAAATAGGAAATGTTACAATCAACGTGATTATTTTTGCAAAGGAATTATTTTTCCTTAAGCAATAACATAAAAAGACATCGGATTATTTGCACTAAAAAGGGAAATATGCACAAAGAAAATGTTATTTATTATTATAATTTATGTATATTGTCACAATATACTTACACATATATATATATATATATATACATATATTCGACCATACAAAAAGCCAATATTTCTAGAGCACATAAACACACGGACACGGAAATCTTGATTGTCACGGAAATGAATGAATTTAACTGCTATAATGAATTTAAATAATAATTGTGATGAATATGCAAAAGTTGGTGATCAGGTGAAATTCAATTCTTTTATTTAATAGCTTAAAGCTGTCTCGTGTTTTCTTGTTTTTATCTAGACTCATTGGTAGAAATCCATTGTCGAAATAAATTTCTCTTTTGGACGTTTGTTTTTAGTATTCAAAGTAACCTCGAAAGCCTTTTGTTTGTATGCGTATTATATATATTATTATATATCAAAAGACAGGTGTGTTCTCCGGCCCGTTTTGTTATCTATATATCCGGTAAATTTATAATAAATTTTGACAATCCTTTTCACATTGCAAACATTTTAAACGGTGGAGAAACGTAACAGACATTTTAATCAAAAAGTAACATTCTTAGAAAACCTTATATTTCATAAAGAAAAATTATTAAAACTTGCAATTTACAATGAGGCAATCCACCAAATAGAAACAAAAATACAAACGTTTGTCATCGTTTATGCATGGGTAACAGGTATTTCGTTTTTTTATAACGTTTTTTTTTTTATTAGGTTAATACCCCGGTTACAGCTGCAAATTACATACCCTTTATTATGTAAATAAATTTTGTTAATGTAATTTAAATATAACTTAAAGTAGAAGCATTCATCTCTTACTATCAGGTTAACCAGTTGCTCGTTTTTTACTCATGTAAGATTCTGTACCAGTCAGCTATTAGTTGCTACATTCTTGTTAAGGCGTTTGTGTTCAGTTCAAATATTGTGTCTGATTTACAAACATACCGACGAGTAATGGGCATAATGTTTTACAAGATTTCTCTAAACACGATGCCAAAGATTATTAACACGGCCTTTTGACCGTTTATTCATAAGGATACCGTTATGAAATAAGTCTGTTATATAAAAATGTTGCGTAAATATAACATTTGTAAATTTTACCATGTTAACGCTTTTTTCCAGCGGCGATGATGGAGACGGCCTGGAGAGCAAAACCGACGAAACGCATTTCCCGAACGCGAGTGCGTTGCGTCAGTCACCGTTGCTTGAACAATGCCCCCTCAAAATCGCCCCGAAATGCCCGCCCGCTTCTAAACGGTACACCTCACACAACTTACATATCTTCCTGAGAAAAGTGTATTGTTCATTTCGGTTCTAAGGCAGAAAACGTAGATCATGCAAATTACGAAGCTATACAGTTTAGCTATTACCTCATATATACAGATTAAAAATAGAGTTCAGTAATAGGTATATAGATAGGTCCGAATGCTCGACAAAAACCTTAGACGGTCTAGGATATAGCAAAACGCAAATAATAGATACTAAACGCAAAATAATATTTTTTAAAAAACATTTCGAATAGTATTCCAAATGATTTTTATAAATATTTCTAAAATGGTCATAAATTGCAATTAACAATTTTATATATATTTATATTCGGGGTCCAACCCTATAAAATAGCGCAACTATTTTATAGGGTTTGACCCCGAATATATAGAATGGAAAGCGAGCGCTCGGCTACTGAGCCATCACTGAGCAACGCAGTTGAATCATAGACCGTACCATATCTCTAAGAAACGCCACATGCATTTTAATTATAACTCTTTAACTACTTAGCCATGCCTTCAATTTTATGTCTCCGGGGTATGGTTTAAACGGTACGTATCAGTACGTATTTTAAACAACAGTTTTAACCCTCAAATGAAACTAAAGTACTAGGGAGTCATGACCCCGAATTGGTCAGCAGTACCGCGACAGGCGATACAACTGCCCCCCTCTGTAGGTGCCGAACCCACGACGGCACCTGCAACAACCACTGCGGATTTTAAACAACAGTTTTAACCCTCAACTGAAACTAAAGTACTAGGAAGACATGAGTCCGAATTGATCAGCTCTACCGCGTCAGGCGACTTAACTGCCCCCCGTTGTAGGTACCGCACCCACGATGGCAGCTGCAACAACCTCGCGCGCCCCCGCTGGGGCTCCGCCATGACGCCGGTGCAGCGGTTCCTGCAGCCCGCGTACTCCGACGGGATACAGGCGCCCCGGCGCTCTATATTCGGCAGTAGGCTCCCCTCGGCGCGCGAGATAAGCGCCCTCGTGCACGAGGACCAGAACGCGGAGAGCACGGGCATCACCCACCTGCTGATGCAGTGGGGCCAGCTGTTGGATCACGACGTGACGTCATCTTCTCAATCCCGCGGCTTCAACGGATCGGTGCCGAGATGCTGCAAGGACGGCGGACGGGACCTCGTGCCGAATGAGTTCATGGTGAGTCGACGGATAGAGTAGTCATTAATAGTGAAGTTTCATGGTTGCTCTGGTTTTGGGATTCCATGTAAGAACTGTTAACTGCGGAACTGTTCTTATCCTCATGATCTTTTCTTTTAAGTAAAGCAACTGCATAAATACTAGCAAATTTTTGATATTAAACTGTAACATAGTATTATAGTAGTAATAGATTACAATGATGAGAGAGTTGCACAAAGCGACTTAAAATAATTTCAAATCGGCGTTCACTTCGAGTTTGATGAAATATAATAATCGCATTTGCCTCGATCATTTATATCGATCTTTTCACAGGTTTTAGGTGTGGAAAGATCAGGCAAATGCGGTAGCTGATTATCGTCAAGCACAACACCCGTGCAATTGGAGTTTCGTTGTCAACCTTTTTTTAAAGAATGGTCTGATTTTACTCACTCACGAAATGAAAAAAGTATAAACTGAATCCTATGCAGCCTGTACTTCCCTAGCTGAGCCGGCCCATACATGCAAAAGCGTTCTCTTCTTCAGTGTGTTGTGCAAGTGCCTTCTATTCCAGCACCCCGAGTGCCTGGACCATACATGCGTTTTCTTCTTCAGATGTCATACTAATAACGTTTATTCCAGCACCCGGAGTGCCTGCCCATAGTGGTCCCCGCCACGGACCCCTTCTACGGGCCGCGCGGCGTGCGTTGCCTCGACTTTGTGCGCTCCTCGCCGGCGCCTCGCGACGACTGCGCCCTCGGCTGGCGCGAGCAGTTCAACCTGGTCTCCGCGTACATCGACGCGTCACCTCTGTACGGCAGCTCCGCTAGGCAGTCAGATAAGTTGCGCCTGTTTCGAAACGGTTAGTATCACGACACCGCTGCAAGAATACTTACAGACATAAACAGACAGATGCTATAGTTCAATCAATAATTCTGCAGATTAGCATCACCGTCGATGTGAATTCACCGGCATTCTAGCTTGGTCGCTTACCGACAGTATAGTTCAATCAATAATTCTGCCAATTCACATCACCGGTGATGTTTATTCACCGGAATTCTAGACTGTCTCGAATCAGTGTCTCATAAGTAAAACCGTAATCGGTGGTCATGTTGTTTTTTTGGAATCGTAAGCGATCTACAAAAGATACCCTGCCAACTGGGGGAAGACAGGGTCATGTAGGGTTCGTACCCATTAAAACCTCCTCGGTGGCCACCTACATTAAATTTGGAGGGGCTCTGGAATCTCTTTGGTGCCATTCAGTACTGCGCATGAGCACACTAAAGAGAAGGACAAACCTTCCCCAATTTCTTAATGAAGAGACTTTACTAGCCAGTGCACTAAAGTGGACGGTTGAGTCCTCTTCCCGGACGTCGGGAAGAGGACTCACGCCTTTTGCGACCAGGATAAGATATCCCCGCCCTATTGTATGAGCCCGAGGCTACAGAGCTGAAACAAGTCTGCCTACATCGACGTCGCTTCCTCAAATGTATCCACACTGTTGACTCAGTGGCGCAGTTACTAAGCATTGGCTTCGGCACACGGGGTCATGGACTCGATTCCCACTCGGGATGAGTATTTGTGTGACTTAATATAATTGTCACGGATCTGGCTGTATGTTTCCCAAGGAGTGTTGACGTTGGGCAGGCGGCCGGTATAGACTCGTATATCCAAAAACCTCTTATGTCTATGTTTCAAGTTTTGTGCCGGCCCCACCTGGCATAAGGGCAGGAGTATGATGATTCACAGATAGTTACTGTTTGACTACAACCCGCAGGCATGCTGCAGTACGGGCGCGTGCAGCAGCGGCGGCCCATACTGCCAACAGATCGGCGGGATGAGCTGTGCCGCGGCGGCGCCGTGTCTACTGAGTGTTTCAAGTCTGGGGACGGCCGCGTCAATGAGCACCCGGGGCTGGTGGCGGCGCACATCGTGTGGCTGAGGCAGCACAACAGGCCAGTACACAACAAGAACTGCCACTCTTAGGGCTCTCCCCGAACATTACAATGATCTATTAAATGCAATTTGACCTGACAATGAACACCGGAAGGGTTCGAAACGTCGGGAGTTAAATATCAAAATTGAAACGCGACGAAATCCGTAAAATAGTTTAATTTAATATGTATGATATTCGCGTGAAAACAAGAAATTAATAAGTTACAACGTCCTTCAGACTAATATCAATAAATTATGGGTAAAATATAATAACAAAATAAACTTTACCTGTGTATTTTAATATAAATAAAAACGAAATTGCCGATATACAGAATGGCGCAAGAGCTTGCCCATTTGAACCCCCACTGGAGCGACGAGAAGATCTACCAGGAGACACGGAAGATAGTCGGTGCCATGTTCCAGCACATCACCTACAGGGAGTTCCTGCCGATTGTTTTAGGTATTGCATTTTGATACACAAAGATTAAATAGTCTACCAATCCGCAGTTGGAGGAGATAGAGGAGGCCTTTGTCCAGCAATAGGACGTATATGCTCTGTTACTTTACTTTCTTTACACATAGATTATATATTGACCATGACTTTAAAGACAATATTAACAACTTTATGCCCTACTGCCCTAAACAGTTCTTTGCACACAATTTAATTACCGAAAACGTGAACTTACTAAATGCATCGGTTTTATTTAATAACTATAAAGTACTTTTCTTTCATTGTGTAATAGATCAATTAAAAAAAATACAAAAACACCAGACTGGTCTTAATTTTGGAATCACAAAAATTGAGCTCATAAAATCTTCCTAAACTTGATCTTGCATGAAAAAAGACTGTTGCAAATCATAGCCCAAGCTTAGTAGAAGATTAATTAACGTCCCATTAGATCAAATTATATTAGTTATAGTTAAAATTTTACGACATTTCAAAACGAGGCTACGAGATTCCTAACAATCGGTATTATTATTTAAATTCCATTACGCAATTATCTCTCGATTGAGGCCATGAATTCAATCCGATACGGTATTGGCCGTAGCGAATTCATTCAGGAAAAAGTGGTGAATGGATAAGATCTTATTGTCGTAACATCTTAGATTGACTTTGCCATTCTATGTCTAATCTAATATAAGATTGTGAATTTTTTTCATTTCAACGAGTCATATACTCGTATTTATACGATCAACGCGTAAATAATGTAGGTAAATGTTTCGAATATGGAGAATGTTATTACGTGCATGTTTGTCATAACATCATTACAACTCGGAGCAATCTAATTTGACACATGAGGAAAAATTCAAAACACAATAAGAAAACTATGGAAACATCAATTTATAATATTGTTACGAAAGAATCAAATCTTTCGTATTCCATTGTGCGTATCGTATGAATATTGCGCAGCGTTCACGGTTAACAAATAAAACAGCCGTGAAAATGAGACATTTAGTGAAATGTAATTATCTTCACGAATTGCTTAATGATTGGTTAGTTGGGGCTCAATCCCCAAAGCTGTTAGGTTCCGTCTCATGTTTGCGAAACCTCTCTATGAGAAATTATTTCGTAGTGTTACCTACACTATAAAATTATTACGGTAAAGTGTTACCGACACTGAGAAATAATTTCTGATTTGAAATAAAAATTATCATAATAGTACGACAATACCTCAATTTATATTACCTATAAGTGTGACCCCAATTTGAATTACCTGACCTTAAATGTTATACAATACTTTGAATATTATCGATTATACAGTTTAATTTGAATTCATAACCCGATCGCAGTTGATGCTCGCTTGTTACAGAATTCTACCCATTTGGTCGCTGTTCTAACAATGGAATAGCGACCATAGTAAAACAATTAGAAATAAAAGTATTAGTATTTCAAACTTATTTCGTTTTTTGTATTAAGCAGTGCTTAGTAAAAATGATTACGTCCATCAAGTATACGGTTCTTACAATCCACAATAATTAAACTGCCAAGACTGTCTTCTGATCTTTAAGGAATCTCATAGTCAAATCTAAAGACTTTTCATTCGATCCGAGCTATTTTAAACTTCATTATCTACCAATGGAACGATGACCAGTAAAAGTAAAGTAACAGCCTATATATGCCCCACTGTTAGGCAAAGGCCTTCTGTACGGAGGGTATGAAGACATAGTCCACCACACCACCATACTTCGGATTGGCAGACTAATCCTTTCAAGATTATGAGGTGTAAGAACTTATTTAATGCCAACGTCGCCCAGTGATCACGCGTTCCTGGGCGGCTCTCACCGCTCCAAACCTGCGATTTATAATACAGTCGACACAGTCTATACTCTACCTCGACAACCCGTAACCGACACATCATATACCAGCGCATTTGCACACATTCGTGACTCTCTTAGCTTAGGACCCAACAACTCGTGGAAAGCGGGCTAACATTAGATGATGGTTATTAGTCTCCGGATACAAAACGTAACTTTAGATAGAAGAAGATCCAAGTGACCAAGTGTAATAGCATTCTTATATTCATGTTCACACATCATATTACTTCCCCGCAGGATCAGAAGTGATGCGCCTCTTCGAGTTGGACGTGCTGACGAAGGGCTACTACAGGGGCTACAACCCCAAGGTCAACCCGAGCCCCGCCAGCTCGTTCGGCTCCGCCGCCTTCCGCTTCGGCCACAGCCTGGTGCAGCCCACCATGATGCGCTACGACCGCTTCCACCGGCCCATGCGGAACAGTGCGTACTCCTTACCCAATTATCCTATCCGCCTTACCACTCGTTTGACTAATATCTGTAGTAGAAGTGGACAATGTTATATTCAATTCAGCCTATTTCCAAGAGCTTTCAAACGTAACAATCTGTTGCTTGAAAGGTTAGAGCTGTCTAGAGAAGAATCAGGAAACTGAAAAAATCTTTTCATACTGCGAACTACAACACCGAACAGGATTGATATCATTGTCCGCCTTCCAGACGTCTCCCTCCACGACGAGCTGACCAACCCGTCCAACATCTGGAGCATGGGCGCCGTGGATCGACTGCTCATCGGGATGATGAACCAGCCGATACGGAAGCGCGACGAGTTCATCACGGCGGAGCTCACCAACCACCTGTTCCAGACGCCCAGCTTCGACTTCGGCATGGACTTGGCCGCGATCAACATACAGCGGGGCCGGGACCACGGGGTGCCGCCGTACACTTCGTGGCGGGAGCCCTGCGGCCTCTCAGCTATTGGGGACTTCGAGGACCTCGTCCGCGTCATGCCCATGAGGGTCGTGAGGAAGCTGAAGAGCTTGTACAGGTACAAATCTTAACTAACGCCTCGATCTTCGTTATTTGAACGACCGATGCCAACAGATCAGAGATAACTCCTAAAAAAGAGCTAGGAGAACTGCAGATTCTGAGTGTTGTTAAATACAATTTGAACTTAATTTTTCCTTGTGTGTTTGTTGTATGGTCTAACTGAAAACATACTTAAACATACTTTCCTTTTGTAAATAAATACATATTACACATATATGTAGGGAGCTCATAGGAAGCTGGAGAAATATAAATATATTGGCGTTAAAGTTACTCGTTTATCACCTTCTCCTATAAATATGAACAGGGTTCAACAAAACGCTATAAACCAATAGTTTGAGAGTTAGATAACTTCATTGGAAACTCAATTTCAGGCATGTGGATGACATCGACCTGTTCACCGGTGGGATGGCAGAGAGGCCCGTCATCGGCGGTTTGGTGGGGCCGACCTTCGCTTGCATCATCGCGCAGCAGTTCTCAAATCTAAGAAAAGGCGATCGGTTTTGGTGAGCTAGAGGTTTTCCGGGGATCTCAGAGGTTGCGCGTGTATTTTATTTGCTCAGATCAGTTTTCTCTTAGACCTCTTGTAGACAGAGAAAGGTGATTAATGATTTAATATCACCGGCTTCACAGTCTTAAACTTACATGGCGGTAAGTGTGCGGCGTTAGCTCTGAGCAGTCATTACATGATTGAATGTCCGGCATTCGAAAATCTAACGCTTATTGAGACACGTGTATTTATATTGATAAAAAATACTATACATTACCATACAGTACATTTCTTTATTAAATTCAGGAAGTCCACATTAATTTTCAATGATTATTTATGATCCACATGAATGTACTTCTCGGCCATTTAGTTTATATGACTTTAATTTTTTTTAGGAATTTGACCGAGTGTAATCCATTCCAATAATTGTAAGTTAACGCTAACTAAACGCAAGTTGTAATTTGTGATAAAAAAGTTATATACTTTTTTCTTTCGTACTTTATTATTATTTTCTTATAGGCAACGGTAAATTTGACTATAATCTAGTACGGTAGTGTATATTATTATAGTTCAGATATCAAGATTACATGCAACTGAAAATCGCTCACGTGACTGTAGACCGCAAATACGGCTTCTATACTACGACATCGCCACTGCCCTTTCATTCAAAAGCATAGAAACTTTCACGACTTGCTTGATCACAAACGATGGTCTATTAGCTAGCATTGCACCTATAACACTAAAAGAATTCTTGTCTTCCGCAGGTATGAAAATGGGGGTTTCGAGTCATCGTTCACTCCAGCTCAGCTTCAGCAGATCCGCCGTCTATCTTTAGCCCAAGTCCTCTGCCGGACCCTTGACACTATCGACAGCGTCCAACCTTTCGTCTTCCTCTCACCAAATAACCCTGACAACGAGAGAATACCCTGCCACAACAGACTCCTCAACAACTTTGACTTATCCCCCTGGGTCGAGATCAATTCCGACTCGAACGATGACATAAAGAAATCTGACGATCACACCACTACTCCCAAACCGAAAACTAAAAGACCCACTACCACAAACAGACCGACGACGACAAACAAAGGACAAAAACAAACATTGACACACAAAAACCCACCGCTTAGTAATAGACCGACAGCGACAAACTCGACTAAACCTCACAAAGCTAGTAACAGATTCAATAATACAGATTCACAAACAACCAATAACTCGACCATTGACAGACTGACAGTAGACTCGACGACTAGACCGAAAACGACTAAACAAGCGATCGACGACAAACTAGACTTTAAAAACAAAAGCAGACGCTACAGCGACTTCGAAAGCATACTAACCAGATACCGAAAACCGACTACACACTACAACAGCTACGATTACGACGACACGCAGAGCGTTCAGTCGTTAGTCGTGAACAACTTGCAACACAAGCGGCCCTACAACAGGCCCGTTATAACTGTGACAGAAAACATCGACAAATACACTTACCTGATCAACTACGTGCCGCGGCCGACGCAGTCCTGGCGACAGAGCACGCGAAAGACTCAGGACAGAGACGTCGTTAAAGTCACTTACCAGACATACGACGACACTTACTACAGACGACCGAACAGACCTTACTATTATGACAACAGACGACCAAACAACCCGTACTACAACAGACACGACTCCGACTCCGACAGCAGCCCCTACAGCCGCGAGAGACCGAGCACGAAAGTGACTAACGACGCCAACTCATCTGCCAGATCCAGCGACTATGACGTTAATACCACCAGACGCGGAGCTGACACGGACAGAACTGACACTAGGGAGTCCACGACCCATAACATACAGAAACTGACGACTTTCAGCTACGTAGGCACGTACAGACGAGACAATGAACAAGTGGCGACGACTAAACATGACAAAAGCGACGCAACTAACATAGACGTCTTAAAACATGAAGTAGTCAGCAAGGACTTCACGACATTCGAAGCCAAACCGCAGACCGTTCTAAAAGATGAATTGTTTAACACCGACAAAATTTCCACTTTCTATCTATACGAGACCGCGACCAAACCTTACAATCCGAACAGACCGACCAGACTCAACGACGATGAACAGATCACGATGACCAATAAACATAAGTACTATTACGTGAGAAACGTTCTGCACAAGTATCCAGACCAACCTACTATAGCAAAAAGGGGTACGGCTACAAACGGTGGTACCATCGTAGAGACCGTTAACAACTTACGCGTTCCCAGTTTCGGAATAGAGGAAAGGTCGACTGCGAACAAGGTGCAGTCTTTGGACGCGCCGATACCGAAACCTGGGAACGCAGACAGACCTAGGTTGAACGTTAAAAAGCCCTCCAATCCCGCCAAGACGCCTTCCGTCGCCTTCCAAATAATACCAAGTGAGAACAGGTAAGCTTTTAAAATTAAATAATTGTATAAAATACAGTGAATATTCAATTTTCCGTCAGTTTTTTTTATAGAATGACGCACTGTACTTGGGCTTAATGACCAATTGTGCTTAAATATCTAATTTAGGTACGTAAATAAAAAGGTGTAATGTGTTAGATATGTAAATGTATGTATATGCATAGCCTGTAGTGGGGGTCTTATTTAAGATTAATACCTACCAATTTGTAATATTTGATAGTGCAATTTGATTGTGCAATAAATATGCGTTCCTTTCGCAGTCCATCACTGTGGGCAGTATACGAAGAGAATGCAGATCTACCTGAAGGCTTACCCCACCGCATGCCCACTCTCAAAGCTGATCCTCACGCGCTGCGAGAAATACCGAGGCCAATGGACCTCTCTCGGCCCCTACGACGCCGGCCGGGAAGGTTCTAGCTATTATTTGTATGGTAGCCCGCTTTAATTTAACGAGGTATCTTCAATGCAAACGCAGTAAATTAATGTAACATTCGATGATGCCCCGTTGATTGACTTTATCAATAGGCTCTTAAGTTAATATGTAGAATAAAATCCTAATATATTTACTCAACTGAAATATATGTGTATTTATAATATGAAGAGACAGAAACATGAACCTGACGTGAACTTGAAATTTGAAAACAAGAAGACTTGGACAATATGACCACTGTGACTTAACATTACTATTTAGACTGACTTAACATTACTCTTTTCTTTTGTGTCTTTACATTTTGTTAACTAGAATGTCTTAATAATCATATAGAAGTAACGAACGTGACTAGACTGACTAGACACTGAAACTTAGTTGTAGCAGTAAAAATGACTGAAATAAAAGGGCAATAAAATGTCTTATTAAACGGTTTTATTTAGCTGGACCCGTACGGAATTTGTTTGTTTATTTGGGTCAAAAATAGAAATTGAATTTTAAGCACCTTCCCGTTGTCAGATTGATCTGAAATTTGGTACACACATTTAATTTAGATGACAATACAATATTGTAGTTTTCAGTGCACAAAAAAAAAAACATAAAATAAAACTGTTCAACTTAAAAGTTTTTAAACGGTTTTATTATTTTAAACATTAATGTTGACACAATGACAATGTTTATAAATTACAATGACAGACTTGGGTATAAGATATTATTTGACAATCTGTAACCTCATATTTTGGTGTGCAACTTCACGACAAACTGAGAAGAATAACAAATTGTTTATGAAATCTAATGTAAAATGATTTGATTACAAGTTTCTGGCTCTAAGACTAGTCACATATGCACATAGGAATGCAAAAGAAAATTAAACTATATTATTACACTTAAATATTATTTTTGTGGGTACATGCTTTTGTGACTTGAAAATTCTAGTTTGCAGATTAGTGTTGCTATTACAGCGTTAATTAAAACTAAGTTTCTTAGACCAAAAATTCTGCGTTCACATTTTTTTTGATGATGATGATGATTTCATGATGATAATTTACATGTTGCCAAAAAAGGCAAAAAGCATCAAGGGACCACAAAGTTATGAATAAGGACAAGACACAACAATAGCTGAAAGACAGAAAAAATAAAAAACAATGAGACTCATGACTTTAACATATGTATATTAAGAATTTTTAAGATTACATTTATTACTTATAATAAAGATTTTGTATTTAGAGTACTTTGCAACACTCATACAATTTGTTAGATTTATTATAATCATTTAATATAAATTGAAACTATTTAACAAATTGTAAGAATTTTGTGTTTGCCTAACATTTCTGTGAATAAATTTTCATAAAATATCTGCAGTTTTTCTTTCTTTGGAAACAAGGATAGTTTCATTAAAACTAATTTCCCATTATAATATAGCCATACAATTTTTTATGTAAAAATCTCATATGTTGACAGAACATAACATTGAGTGATTATGTAATAAATAAATAAAAATGTTGATTATTCTAAATATAAAATATTATGTAAACAATAAGTACATCACATGTAATAAGTACCTTGGAATAGCGATTTAAAGCCACTCTTGACAAAATAATTAAAAATAAAATTGCTAGCTTTAACAACTTTGAAAATGAACATAGAAATTCAAAGTCAATATTTATCATTTTTCATTCATCACATTAATCATATTTTACATTCATTTTCATTATCACTAAATAATATTCTTACATGACATTTATAAAAATGAGATTAAAATAAATAAGAGTATGCTTGACAAAAATTTGGACTCTAAGAACGCAAAATTGATTTAATCTCGCTCCGGATAGTATTGTGTTAATACTTTTGATATTTCCTGGGCTAGCTCAGGAGTGCTAGCACACAGAACTCTTCGTGACAGTATGTCAAAGGGGCCTCCTGCTGGATCTATGCAGACACCACCAGCCTCTCTGATTATGACGTCACCAGCAGCAACATCCCAAGCATGAATACCAAATTCAAAGTTTGCATCAGCTCCCCCCTGAGCTACCATAGCCATATTAAGGGCTGCAGACCCCAATGCACGGACACCATGTCCTTTGCTAACAATCTGCTTGTAATTCTCAAATACAACTTTTGCTTTCTCTTCATCACGGCTGGTTCCGGCTTCAAATGCAACGAGAGCATTACAGAGCTCTTTAACTTGTGAAACGTGGATCTGTCGGCCATTCAAAAAGGCGCCTTGGCCCTTTTTCGCGGTAAATAACTGCTCCAATATTGGGTTATAGATTATGCCTGCAACGGATACTTTATTGATGACTAATCCAAGGGAAATGCAACTATGTGGGAAGCCATGGACGAAATTCATTGTTCCATCTACAGGATCGATAATCCAGGTAGGATCATCGGTAAGGATACACTTAGCGCCACCCGCCACCGATTCTTCACCAATAAATTTGTGTTCGGGAAATCTCTTTGAAAGGCCTCCTATTAGCGTCTCTTCTACTTTTTTATCAATTTCAGTCACAAAATCTATGTCACAGGACTTGAGTTCAAACACCTTGCACCCAGTTACATGTTCTTTTATAAGGTTTCCTGCTGAGCTTACTAGTTCTAAAGCAACGGCGAAATATTCGTCTATTGAGTCCGACATTTTCTTCACTATTTAACTAATACGATTTCAAACGTCTATTAACTTATGCAGTCGTTTGGTATCAAAAGCAATATTGGATTTGGAATGATCCCAAACTTGAGATATGCGATTTTATATTCTTACCAATACGGACTTATCAATGTCATTGATAAAATTAAAATGTCAAATTACTTTATCTCTCATCATATATGTCAATATCAAATAGTGTTGCGCGGTGAACAATTAACTGTTACAAACCGTTTTGTCGTTGTCAACTATTAAAACAGCTTGTAAATCACATATAAACTAAAAAAACTGTGTGAGATTACCAAGATACACAAAGACATTTTCACCAGATTTATAAACGACATTTTAACGATATATCATCTAACAAATACATGAACTATTAAACGACTATTTGATTATCAGTGTTACCGGCTAGTATTCCAATGATGTTTAATAAAATAATTTTCTTACACGATATACAGTAACATATCGTTGACTGTTGTCTAGTAAAACCAAGTTTTCTTTTACAGTATCAAAAGAAGAACACTTGGAAAATATCATGGCCATAAAATGTTAATAGTATGTTTATTAATTATAATGTTTACCTTATATGGCGAAATAAATACTTTTCAACGTTTCGCGTTCTTCATCCAATGGCCGACACAGCCCCTAAAAACATTTAGCAGATATGGCATGAAGTAACTCCCTTAATAATTAAATTAATAACTTAACAATTGCGGTACAGCTGGGGAATATTGCGTAATATGGTGTACACACAAATCTCATCTATAGGCTTGTCCTTTCTGTGGAACTGGCAAGTCAATGCAATCATTTGACGCCAGCTCTATTTCAGGACCATTACGACTTCAGGACCTTTATGAAGAGTTTTTGAGTCTATGTATTTTAGACGTGCATTTAAGTTATCCATAGTGATTGAAAAATACCTGTTTGTGGTTAAAACTAACTGAGTAACGCCTGTTCATAATATCTTGATTCTTCAGCGCATTATATTTTTTAACTCTCGTACAAAATTTTTGTGCTACGACAGGCAGTGAAACCTAAATTTGGGCTTCAGGTTAACTTATTCGTGTAACAAGGTCAGTACTCCATCACTGTGTCAATTAGTAAATGAGGTTAATTAAATAAATTCCGAATACGATACGTAACAAATTTAACAACCTTGTTTATTAAAGAGTACATAATCGAAGGAAAAAGTTCCATTGACCCATAAATAGTGTATCGTGTAAACATACGTTCCGTTTATTACCACTGTGGTAAAAGCATGCAGCAGGTTATACTGTTGCATGAACAGATTGGGTCTTATGGAGAAGTACCACGGTCTCAAATAAGCCTGGCCCGGATGTACCATAATTTTAGCTTCGAGTCTAGTGGAAACGGTAATCAGAACCCACTCTGTCATGGTAGGTTACTCATTTGAAACCCCTTGAGCGTTCTAGATGTCCATTGACATCCGTAATCACTTAATATCAAGTAAACTGTCTCGTCAGACGAAAAACACCCTATTCTCTTATTTCACCAACATTCTTACAAAAGAGGGCTGAACTGAAACTATAAAGTAGGGTTCCAAAATAAAACGAGTGGTTTAAAAATCATGAAAAATTGTTTAATTGGCATACCAACTGATAACTTGTTACAACCTATGGCCAATTTTACAATTATCAATATTGTTAATAATTAAATATAATATTTATGTAAAATATGTTTATGCTTCAATGGTTTACTTACATTTAATTTTTTTATATTATTATTCAGAAGAAAAAAAACCTATATATAATAAAAAAAAGACGAGGTCATTACAATAATTAAGACTTCGGTAAATAGTCGTACAAAATGTTCGCAGGTTCTCGCTCCACTGAACAAGGTCCGCGGTAAACACCTAAGGCCACGATTTATTACTAAATGTCTCACTTAACACTAAAAGCAAGCCGTGTCCCAGCGCGTGCGTTTGCGACGGGACAACACTTTACACGTCACTAGTGCGAAGCGGCCGGCGCGTATTTACAAATCCCACCGGCGACTGCACTGCCGCAGTAAAAGGTGGTGGACTATGGAAAGTTCGTACGACGCCAACGCGGTACGCACCGTAGCGGCGACGTAGAGCGTACGTAGAGGCGTACCTTCTATTCGACGTAGAGTACTAGCGACGTAGAGACGTAACGGCCGAGTAGACGTTATGTAGCGGCGCAATCCGCTACGGCGAGTGCTATATATGCGTCCTTATAAACTACGAATAAAATTTGTATGGCAACAAAGCGATCAGCGAACGACACTGAAATAAGAATATTTACACGATGCAATCGGGGCGTACGCTCGCGGCAAAACCGAAGGTGCTTGTTGACATCGCTAGGTTTTATTCTATTATAATAAATTTAGAGAAAGAGACAAAAAACACCATCTGGTGCCTATTAAGAATTGGTGTATCCCGAAAGTGCTGATGCAATACTAATATAAATCATGGCGTTCGTAATGGTTCGTAAAGATATAGAGTGGTATTGTCGCGAACCAGTCTTTCGTTGTACGGCCAAAACTAATACGAAGAAGAGACAGAGATAGATAAAGATAGAGAAACAATAAATTTCTCGCTATCATTAGTCTCCTCAGCTTAGTCGGTTAATAATTGCATCATCCGAATCGTGAGTTCCTTGTGTCACAGATTATAATACTTTTATAGTTTTATTTTACCGTTTTAAATTTAACACGAATATCACCCAATGAGTAATTTAACATTCTACCCGTCTAGACTAAGTCTAGGTAAAAATCGAAAACTCGATTGTAAAGGAATGTCTCGTTATTAATACTGGTACGGGTGTGGGTGCAATCGATCGAATAAATCAAAAAGGAATGATATATGGGCAAAATAACTACCCTCTGAACTATTACATGAAGCCGATGAACTGTAATTATTAAAAAAAGATACGCAAGTTTTCACGTCTGCGCCTAGCCTTACTTTATATATAAAGCGCCATCTATGAATAAACGAAGGAAAATCGCACGAGAACCGATCAGAGTGCAAATGACAATGGCTTTGGCACAAACACGACGCCGGCAAGTGCTCCGATTTTAAAAAAAAAACGTCCAAACACAAAATGGCGTACGACTATGTCCTGGCACGTCATCTGAGATAAATAGGGTAGCATAAATCCCGAGCACCCACGAAATACGTCCATGTACACGTTACAATTGTAAAAATGTATCGAAAAACACACGGCCCATTGTCGGACGTCAGCCGGCTACACAGAAACAATGGGAACTAGCAGAAACATTAAGTTTGAAAATTTTTAACGTGCTGTTTAAACATATCTATTTAGTAATTATCTCCACCTCATCCAGTTCTCCTTAAATAACCGTGACGAAGAGAATCAGTGAAACTTATAAATTTGTAATCCAAGTGTTCAATTCATATTCTATAATATAATGTACTATATTGGAAACTACAGCCTAACTGATACAAACTATTGTAGGGAAAAAAACATACAATAAAGACGGTTAAAGTCGCACCTAAACGTTGCATGAAATAAATTCTACATTAGACTGTTTCAGTTTTGCTGCAAAATTTAAAGTTTGCTCAAAGAATATATATAATACACAGTTTCGAATAGAACAAGTAAGATAATCAAGTAACGGAAAACCATAGAGCACTGCGTGGTGATAGGCATTAGGATTTAATAGACAAAATTAAAAATCAAAAATAAAATGACGAAATTATAAAACAATTTCATTGACAATAGAAAATATAAGTAAAACTCCTAATGCCTAACACACGTCGATTATTCAAATAGAAATTAACAAACCAAATATTTACAAAAGTGAAGTGGTTGATTTTAAGAGGCAATTACAGTCAATTTTGTATGAAATAAAGAAGTAAAAAAAGTAACGGAAAAGTGTGTAATTGTATAAGTTATTTATGAATTTGAAAAATGTAATGTAAAAAAGTATAATGCTCCTCTTGTAGAAATTAAATCAAATTAAGTAACAATAAACATTAAATTTAATATGTGGACATAATAAAATTACTTGTTCGATTATATAACATTTTGGCATTTCATGTACGAAAGAAACCGAATCGACAACTCCAGATTTGAACCCAACAAATGAATGACAATCTAAACGACCTATGTGGTTAGGCACACTCAGAATTTATCCAAAATTTGTACCACTTGTTAAAAATAAAAATGCAAACAATCCCATTGTGTATTTAAATAAATAATGTAATTTGGAAAAAAAATCCAAATGATGCAGAATGAACATTTTAAAATATTTAGATTACCCTTATGGAAAATTTTGTATAAAATTAATTTAAAATTAAAATTATCGTGTGTTATTTTCAATCGCTTCCACTCGAGCGTACCCGAGAAGTTTGTATTGAAACAATTCAAGTGTGCAAATTGTGTTGTATGTTTCCAATTTATTTTCGATTAAGATAAAGGTAAGAGGTAAGGGATTATCCGATTTTTCTAAACCAAATCATCGCTCGACAAGCGAGTTGGCTAGCCTAGCGTATTAAATGCGTAACGGAATACAGGTTTCGTTGCGTTCAAACGATTTCCCGAGGGCCGGATGAGAAGGCGGTTGTCGGGCGTGCGTGAGAGGTCGTCGGGTGGTCGTCGGGTGGTCGTCGGGTGGTCGTTGGGTGGTCGTCGGGCGGTCACTCGACGCTGTTGGTGGTGTCGTTGACGTCGTCGAAGGACTCATCTCCGGAGCCGGCGCCGGGCGCCAGCGAGGTGCGCTTGATGCGGGACGAGGAGGAAGCGCCGGAGAGCCCGATGCCGCCGCCCTGCCGACTGTACAGCGAGTGGAGAGTGAGATAGAGCGGGAGGAGAACGGATTTCACACGAGGCGGGTATTGTTAAGCGTGTTTCATGAGAGACAGAACGACAAATAACTCCCATGATAAATAATTTCCTGTGGTACGCACTTACAAATTGTTAAATCAAACTATGTTTACGGATTTATCCGTGAGCATAGTTTCATTTTGTAACTTCCATGATTAAACCAGCAGTGATCTGATAACTAGAAGTCTATAGTACATATCGCTGACATTTTTAAATTGTTTCAATTTAAATTCAACCCCCTCATAGTTTCATAGTTAACCCTATCCACCGTGGAATTTTAAAAATGTTTTGGAACAAAGAGAAATACAGATATAAACAACTGAATCATACTGTCTTATAAAGGGACCAGCCACATTTATCACACAAATAATGTATTTATTGATGTTATTCAGAGTTTTCTTAAAAAGCTCATAAATTGTTCCTTTGAGTTAGTCAAACAATGATGAAAATAATGTTGAATTTTAATCTAATCACACACAAATTTAAGATATTGATTAATATATAGTAACATTTGTATCTAGTCTCAGAAAATTCTATTTTTTGAGATATTGAAAAATTTTATTATAACCAAATGAGAAATGAGTAACAGCTAATGTGAAACATGCGACGAAGCAATGATCGGTATGTCTAGAATCACACTGCATACGCGCGGCCGTTATAACCTCTGTATTAAGCGAAAACGAACAGACACATTTCTCAACATCCCACATTAGATTCAATTCCACTAAAATAATATAACAAATATATACGTTGTTACAGGCTGGCAAAGGATTATTTTTCATCAGCATGTATTTTGTTCAGCAATAAATATATAAGGAATAAATCCATCTAAGAAGTATATGTCAACAATCTATCAGCGGAATTGAACCATGAACACCACCTCCCACCTCGGTTACCTCGCACTGTCGTCCACTGCTCAGCTAGTCACTATCGTCCGATAAGGACGGCCTACACAACATATAAAAAAGAGTTTTGTAGGTATATGATAGACTGTCACTGAAATCACAATGTTAGTGATATTGAAAGGGAACAATGTACTGAAGAATTAATGTGTGTGTAATATGTAATAGTATATACTAAGTACAAATTAATTTACATTTGATTACAAATCATCGCAAAAGTAAAGTTTAGAACTTTAGAAAGTTTAATATGTGTAAAAAGAATGAGTGAATGACTTCCAACATTCACATATTAATGAATGAATAGTAACTTAGTGGAAGTTGATAAAAGATGAGTAAAATGTTAGCTGAGTAGAACATGAATAAATGAGATTCAATTGTTGAGGATGACTGAGTTAGTGGGTTGAGGGAGGATTAGAGTTAGCGGGGTTATGTGTGGACGAGTATAATGAGATAGTGAAGATATGAGTGTATGAGGTTATGAGTTAGTGGGGATATGTGTAAGTGTGTGAGAAAGTGAGGATATGAGTGTGCGAGGTTATGAGTGAGTAAGGGGTGGGTTTTGCAGGTAATGCATACCGAAGTTTGTTGCGCAGGTTGGAGCACTCGCGCGCGAGGGTCTCGTGCGTCTCGAGCAGGTCCTCGAGCTCTCGCTGCGCCTTCCGCTTGCCCAGCTTCTCGCGCTGCACCTCCTCCTCGGCCTCGTCCAGACGCCGCTTCAGCGTCTTCATGCGGGTGTTCATCTGCACAGGGGGATGTCGTTAATGTACGTAGCAAACGAGGAACGCGTTATATATATAATACTAGCCGCTGCCCGCGACTACGTCTGCGTAGAATAGGCTGAAGGCGTAACATTCAGACAGTAAGAGTAAGTATTTAGATATTTTTTTGATGTGAGGAGGTGGCAAACGAGCTGGCGGTTCACCTCATGTTAATTAATAACCGCCACCCGTTGACATTTGCAACACCGTCAGGGTTGCAAATGCGTTGCCACCATTTAATTAAGTTAGCCCCGGCTACCTCACTCAACATAAAAGAAGAAATATAGAAGTAACACTTCCACTTCATGGCGGTCTTCTATGAGGTCGTGATATCCCCGGATGGACCTGGCCATTCGTGCAACAGCGAAAACGGTTGCGTGGCCCTATCGAAATTAAAATTTGTAGAAAAAGTACGAAAATATTGTCACCGCTGTGGGAATCGAACCCACGTCTTTGGCATTCGCGGCCTAACGCTTTAGCCACTAAGCTAAACGGTTGATAGCCACACCGACGAAAATCTTAACGTCTTTTATCTTAATTTAATCTTAAGTGCAGAGATTAGCATTATAAAAAATTTTAATTTCTAGAAATTAAAATTGTCGAAAGATTTTCGGCGCAGCCGGGGTTCGACCTGACGCGCCCAGACGCTCTAACCAACTGTATATAATAAAAAAAATAAGCACCCTATATTTTATACCCAACACGGCACGAAAACCTAAACATCTGGTTATTTTTTAGCAAGGCTTGACGCCACAACTGCAGTTTTACAAGCTCTCTACACGTACACCGACTCTTTGTATGTTATCTAAAAACACTGCAGTAAGTCGCCACTTTTAAATGACATTTTAAAATTGAAACTTGAAGCAAAGGCTGAGTAAGTAGTGGTAAAAATTAAAATAATCATTATTTTTTTATTTTTTTTATGTGACAAAGTGGCAAACGAGCTGGCGGTTCACCTGATGTGAAGCGATAACCGCCGCATGGTTGCAGAAGCGTAGCCACTTTTAAATAAATCGGGCCCCGGCTACCTCGCTCACCAGACGTAACGCAGAAGTATCGGTGCGGGTTTGCGTTACCTTTTCGATTTGCTCCTTGTACTGGTCCGCGTGGCGCCGCTCCTCGTCGAGCTGCAGCGCTAGCTCCTTCATCTTCTTGTCCAGCTTGCGCGACGCCTTCTGCTGGGCGAGCCGCTCGCGGGACTCCGCCTCGAGCTGCTCCTCCAGATTGGACACCTTCAGCTCCAGCGAGGTTATCACACCCTGCCACCGCACGGTAACGGAACATTAGTCTCAATCGTGATAATAAAAGTCACTATTTATTATTCTGCTACGTGTCAATGATCAGACTGTTGGAATTGAATCGGCATATTCCAATTTCAAGAGAGTGGGGAGAGTAGAGTAGTCTTTAAAAACCTTTATAAAGTCGTAACAAGATGGTCTGTATAGTAGATGTGAGTTTGGTTCGAGTCCTGTCGAGTTGTCTTCACATTAGAAAACATTACAAGTTGTTTTAAATAAAAACAATATACATTCTGAGAAAACGTGATAAGTTAAAAACAAAATTAACAACGTAAAATGGATTGTATTCCATATAATAATTAGCAACCATAAATACTTGAAGGTTATAATTTATACCTAATAAAAACATATTGTTATGAACACACAAAGGAACTAACGCCATCTAGCGTCAACTATCAAAACCACTAAAGAACAAAGACGACATAAAACCCCCTATTCAACACTAGAGAGGTTAGAGGAACTGCTGTCTCGAAAACCGGGTACATTCGCGAACTTTCCGGAATCACGAACATGTTCGTGCGTGTCGGGTACGTTCCAGGAATGGATTTTCTTTCTTTCTGGATTATTCCGGAACCGGTCTCGGCTCATATAAAAAGCCGCAGGGAGGCGAGCGATGACAGTTCAGTTTGAGCTACCTTCGAGGCGACTTCGGAGCGAAAACTAGTGATCAACAGCGATACCAGTGAAACCTACGACTTGGCTACAAAACAGGACATCGTTAGTGCTTAGTGTTTGGACCTAGTGCTTTGTGTTGGACCTAGTGCTATTGAATAAAGTCTTCAAAAGAGTCAGCAGGTCTTTCTCTCCAAATCCTTCGAACCCCTAACACGTAACAACTGGTGTCAGAAGTGGGATTTGGAGATGCCATTGACTCCGAGAGAGGACTTCAAGGAGGGTGTCAGGACAAGGGCACGAGCTGCGGAGGCCACACCCACTGTGGACCAAGCCCCGCCCACTGTGGGACAAGCCCCGCCCACTGGCCCCACCGACCAGGCCACGCCCACCGACCACGCCCCTCAGACTCCGCACATTCAGGCCCAAGCCCCGCCCACTCGGGCCCAAGCTCCGCCCACGTTGGCACAGGCCCCGCCCAATTTGGTGCAAGCACCGCCCACCGACTCCACCCACCGGGCCACGCCCACTGGCCCCGCCCACCTTGCCACGCCCACCAACGGCACCGTAACTTCTGCAGCCCCTGAAGTGGCTCTTCAATTAGGAAGTTTAATTGAACTAATGGAGCTGCAGAGGGCTGAAATTCAAGCAATGAAGGAATCACACGAACGCAGGCTCGGCGCTTTGCAAGAGTCGCAAGAACGCAAGCTCAGCGCTTTGCAAGAGACACAAGAACGCAAGCTGACTACGATTCAAGAGTTTCAACAGGCTGAAATCAGATTCGACAATCACAAGAGCAACAAAAAGACCTCCAAGAAAAAGCGCTTTGGGCTATAAATGATGTTAGTAACACGGTGATTAAGCTTCGAAGTGATGTCGACGTAGTCGAAGAACGAGTTACCGGGTTAGGATTGGATGTTGAAAATGTGAAAACCGGCCTCACTGAACTACAGAAGAAAGTAGTGCGCCTTGAAACCACGGGAGTCGCGATGTCTAGTGGAACCACTGGAGTGGCGCAAGGACCAAGAGTGAAAGTGCCGCCATACGATGGCACTACTTCTTGGCACGCTTATCGTCGGCAATTCCAGACTGTTGCTACTGCCAACGGATGGACGGAAGAGCAAAGCCTGACCGCTCTCACTGTTGCGCTTAGAGGGCAAGCTTTGTCGGTCCTGGAAGCACTGCCACATACAGGAAATGGGTTCCAAGACCTGATGGAGGCAATTGAATCCAGGTACGGGGAGCGACACCTGGAGCACGTGTTCCGTGCCCAACTGCGTGACCGAGTCCAACGCTCAGGAGAAGGACTACAACAATGGGGGTTGGAAATTGAAAAACTCGTCAGGAAGGCACACCCAGGAGCCGATACCAAGATAGTAGACACGAATATTGTTCAAGCATTTGTGGACGGAATCAAGGACCTCGAGGTCAGAGCTGCAGTGAGGCTTCGTCACCATACCTCGTTAAAGCTTTGGAGGTCGAGGCTGTTCGCCATGACATACGGCAGACCCATAAGATCCGCGAGGTCTTTGAGGAAGTGAAGGAGGTTAAGGCCCCTACGAAGAGAAGTTCTGGACCCATGTGCTACAAGTGCGGCGAGAGGGGCCATCTTCAGCTCAACTGCCCGCAGAAGGAGACCCAGATGGAAAGGATGAAAAGGATTGAGGAACAAATAAAGGAGCTGAAGAAGCAAGGGGCTTCAGGGAAACGAATAAAAGCCGGGACTAAGGAGCGAGTACTGGCTGACACGGAGGAAGCTCCAGTAAACGGCCACAACTACGGATCAGTGACTGAGCTACTCGATGACTGCAAGAGTAATCTGACTTATTCGCAGGGCATTAAAGCTAGGAAGTTTTTACAGCGCTACGCGAATATCTTCTCCAGTCAAGAAGGGGACCTTGGAAGAACTTCGATGGTTCAGCACAGGATAGATACCGGAAGCGAAAGACCAATTCGTCAACGAGCAAGACGGATACCAATTGCAAAGGAAAAAGAAGTTGAAGGCCTTTTGGAGGACATGGGAAGGAATAAGATTATTGAACCGTCTACAAGTCCGTGGTGCTCACCTGTTGTGTTAGTGAAGAAGAAAGATGGTAGCACGAGATTTTGTGTGGATTATAGGCGTGTCAATGATGTCACTAAGAAGGACAGTTACCCGTTACCTCGAATCGACGACACTTTAAGTGAAGATACCTTAAGTGGCATGAAATGGTTCTCGACCCTAGACCTGAAATCTGGATACTGGCAGGTGGAAATTCATCCAAAAGATAAGGAGAAGACAGCTTTCTCGACCGGTAAAGGTTTATGGCAATTTAACGTCATGCCCTTCGGATTGTGCAACGCACCTGCCACATTTGAGCGACTCATGGAGTGTGTACTTGCAGGCTTAGTTGGAGAGGCTTGCTTAGTCTACTTAGATGACATCATCATTGTCGGCCGTGACTTCGAGGACCATTTGCGAAACTTGGAGCGAGTTTTCACCAAAATAGAGGGAGCCAAATTAAAGTTGAACCCGAAAAAGTGTCGTTTATTCAGGAGCAAGGGCAACTATCTGGACCATGTTATCTCCAGTGACGGAATCCAGACAGACCCGGAGAAACTGGAAGCAGTTCAAAAATGCCCTACCCCTAAGGACAAATCCGAAGTGCGGGCATTCCTCGGCCTATGCTCATACTACAGGCGTTTTGTTAAAGGATTCTCAGAGATAGCCAAGCCATTACATCGACTGACAGAAGATAAACGCCAATTTAGTTGGGATGGGACTTGTGAAGATTCTTTTCAGAAATTGAAGAAACATCTATGTGAAACACCAATCCTGGGGTATCCACAATCTGAAGGTCAGTTTATAGTCGACACGGATGCAAGCAACACGGCCATTGGAGGGGTGTTATCTCAAAAACAGGGTGAAAGAGAAGTTGTTATCGCATATTTCAGCAAATCTTTATCCAAGCCAGAGAGAAACTACTGTGTGACAAGAAGAGAACTCTTGGCTGTTGTAAAGACACTACAACATTTCAACAAATATCTCATCGGCAGACAGTTTTTACTGCGAACTGATCACGCAGCCTTGAAGTGGCTACGGCAATTCAAGAACCCAGAAGGTCAAGTAGCTCGATGGATCGAACAACTCCAGGAGTACGACTTCAAGACGGAACACCGCAGTGGAAAGACGCATGGGAATGCCGACGCACTCTCACGAAGGCCGTGTTCAGAAGACTGCAACCATTGCGTCAAACAGGAATCTAATGAAGTAACATTAAAGCTAACGAAAACAAGTCCTTTGGGTCTCTGGGAGAATGATGCTATGAGGGAGGCTCAAGAAAGAGATGACGACCTTCGGCACATCATCACATGGAAGAAACGGGGTGACGTAAAACCAATCTGGAGTGAGGTTGCTCCCACTGGCGCCGTCACAAAGGCGTACTGGGCGCAATGGGACAGTCTGATACTTCAAAACGGAATACTCTACCGGAAATGGGAGAAGACTAACGGCAGAGAGTTCCATCTTCAGATAATTGTCCCGAGAACGATTGTACCAGATGTTCTCCGTGAAATACATGATGGCGTATCAGGAGGTCATCTAGGTGTCAAGAGAACGTTAACAAAAGTGCGAGAACGATTCTACTGGTTGCACTGTCGAGATGATGTACAGGATTGGTGCCGCAAATGTACTACTTGCGCTGCTGTAAAAGGACCACAGACCAGAAGCCGTGGGAACCTGCGGTTGTATAACGTCGGTGCACCGTGGGAACGAATTGCAGTTGACGTAGCTGGGCCATTTCCTGTAACGGAGTCGGGAAACAAGTATTTTATGGTCGTCATGGACTACTTCACCAAATGGCCCGAAGTGTTCGCCATACCAAACCAAGAAGCTACAACAGTCGCTTCTAAGTTAGTCGAAGAAGTGATATGTCGCTTTGGTGTGCCTCTAGAAATCCATTCCGATCAGGGCAGGAACTTCGAATCGCAAGTATTCCAGGAAGTGTGTAGAATTTTGGGCATGCATAAGACGAGGACCACCGCGTGCCACCCACAGTCTGATGGAATGGTTGAGAGATTTAACCAGACCCTTGAGAGGCATCTGGCGAAATTGGTAGACGACAAACAAAAGGATTGGGACAAGTATATACCACTCTTCCTTCTGTCGTACCGAACCGCCGAGCATGAGAGCATAAAAGCTACCCCGGCGTATGTCAATTACGGTAGAGAACTACGATTACCAGTAGACCTATTGACAGGAGGGTCACCGGAGGGACCAGAGACCGTACAAGACTATGTCTGCAATTTAAGAAAAAAAATGCGCTATATACACGCCTTGGTTCGGGAAAATGGGTTACAGTCAAGTGAGAACATGAAAACCAGATACGACCGGAAATCGAACACGGACGGCTTCGACGAAGGGTCACTGGTGTGGCTGCATAACCCAACTCGTCGGAAAGGGAAATCCCCAAAGTTGCAGACCAAGTGGGACGGTCCATACAAAGTGGTTACCCGACTGAATGATGTGACTTATAGGATTCAAAAGCAACCAAGAGGGACATTCAAAGTGGTACACACAGACCGTCTGGCGCGTTACCATGGCAGTAACAATGATGCTCGGGACGAGCATCTCTAAGAGGGGAGTAGTGTTATGAACACACAAAGGAACTAACGCCATCTAGGGTCAACTATCAAAACCACTAAAGAACAAAGACGACATAAAACCCCCTACTCAACACTAGATGGCGTTAGAGGAACTGCTGTCTCGAAAACCGGGTACATTCGCGAACTTTCCGGAATCACGAACATGTTCGTGCGTGTCGGGTACGTTCCAGGAATGATCTTTCTGGATTATTCCGGAACCAGTCTCGGCTCATATAAAAAGCCGCAGGGAGGCGAGCGATGACAGTTCAGTTTGAGCTACCTTCGAGGCGACTTCGGAGCGAAAACTAGTGATCAACAGAGATACCAGTGAAACCTACGACTTGGCTACAAAACAGGACATCGTTAGTGCTTAGTGTTTGGACCTAGTGCTTTGTGTTGGACCTAGTGCTATTGAATAAAGTCTTCAAAAGAGTCAGCAGGTCTTTCTCTCCAAATCCTTCGAACCCCTAACACGTAACAATATCATTATACCATAGCCGCAATAAATCTTCAATTTCCAATAACATGCAAAAATATTTAATTGTATAATTAATGAATGAATTTTGATACTAACAAAGTATTAGTCAAAATCAATCAGTTATTAATCTCACAAACAAAGTTCACCATTTGAAGCCCAGATATTACAAAAATGAAAATTATTTGGGAGATATCGATAAATACCTTTGTCTTGGTGCGCCCAGCAGTCTCCAGTTCCGCCAGCTTGGCCTTCAACTCCTTGTTCTGTCTCTCGAGCAACAGCTTGCCGCTCTCCATCTTCTGCGTGGCAGCCTTCTCCGTGCCCAGCTCCATGGTGAGCTGGTCGATTTGGTTCTGCAAGGGCAACAGTTCAGATCAAGCGATAAATATTGTGAATTGCAGATTTAAACAACTTGCAGAATGCAAACAAATAAATATGAATAAGATCATAGATTATATTAATCAAACATTTTAAATATAACTATAGAAATTTATATTTAAAATTGTTGGAAAAGCTACAGTTTTTAAGCATAACATAGTTTGTAACTGGTACGCATATGATGCACTAACTAAACATTATAATTAATTAAACTGTGTATAAATATTGTTATGAACACACAAAGGAACTAACGCCATCTAGCGTCAACAGTAAAACCACTAAAGAACAAAGACGACATAAAACCCCCTATTCAACACTAGATGGCGTTAGAGGAACTGCTGTGGAACTATAGTCTCGAAAACCGGGTACATTCGCGAACTTTCCGGAATCACGAACATGTTCGTGCGTGTCGTGTACGTTCCAGGAATGATCTTTCTGGATTAGTCCGGAACCGGTCTCGGCCCATATAAAAAGCCGCGGGGAGGCGAGCGACAGTTCAGTTTGAGCTACCTTCGAGGCGACTTCGGAGCGAAAACTAGTGATCAAGAGCGATACCAGTGAAACCTACGACTTGGCTACAACCTAGGACATCGTCAGTGCTTAGTGTTTGGACCTAGTGCTTTGTGTTGGACCTAGCGCTAGTAAATAAAGTCTTCAAAAGAGTCAGCAGGTCTTTCTCTCCAAATCCTTCGAACCCCCTAACACGTAACAGTATGTACATTCAAGATACCTATGATAATAATAGATTGAAAAGCTTCGAGATATTATCTAAAAACGCAATATAGCGCAGTTTTCTAAATCTTGCGAGACGGACCTGTGACTTGCGCAGTCTGTCGTTAAGTATCTCGTTGTTGGACTGTTCCTCGTCCAAGTCCTCTTCCAGCGCCGATATCCGGGCCTCCAGCCGCTTCTTTTCGTCAACCAAACAAGTGTTCTGCAAATACATGGCAGCGTGTTAGATTTGGCCAATATAACAATAATAATTTATCACGTGTTAATGGTACAAATAGATCAATGATGTCTTGAAATAGGCGAATCCTGTATGGCACTACTACTGTTTGACAATACACTACCATTTAGTTATATAAGCGTGCAATGCAGACTATAAAGAAACGTCATTTGAAGAGCTGCATATTAAGCATTTTTCGGTTTCTTTTTAGAACGTAGTATTTAACGATTTATCCGCATGCAACTTCAATTAGGTGGGTTTTGAAGATTACTTCAAGAGCACCTACAATAATTTGACATACTACTACAAAGTTTTGAACATTAAAATTTTTGGATATTAAACATCAGTACCAAAGTTTGGGATGGTCGCACAGGAATATCATTTGCAAACCACTTAAGTCTTCTCTACTCAAGATACTTTTAAACTATGTGCTCATTCTGGCTTAATACATTGAGGGAGGGTCCGGTGGGTTTGGGGATTTTGTATCACCACTAGACACTGGTAAACTACGCGCTCTTTCCGATTTAATGCCTCGAGGGAGGGATGGTCCAGGATGATCCAGGTGTTTGAATCACTACCGGATACTTGTGAACTACGCGCTCTTACCAGTTTAATGCCTAGAGGTAGGAGGATATGCAGTGTCCAGGGCGTTACGATCACTACTAGACACGGTGGGGCGAGGGGGGCGATGGGGGCGAGGGGGGGGGGGGGGGCACCTTGGCGGCGGCGGCGGCCATCTCGTCGAGCAGGTCGTCGCGCTCGGCCTCCGCCTGGCGGCGCGCGCGCTCGGCCGCGGCCAGCTCCTCGGCGTGCTGCGCGGCGGCCGCCTCGAGCGCCTTGCCGCGCCGCTCCGCCTCGCGCGCCGCGCCCGCCGCCTCCTCGCGCCCCGCGCGCGCCTCCTCCGCCTCGCGCGCCGCCTCCTTCAGCTGCTGCTGCAGCTTCTTCACCTGCTTCGCCGCGTCCTCCTTCACCTGCGGACGCGCCTCTATGCTCGGTACTTGCCTTTCGTACGATAACGTTGTCCCGTCTTGTGAGAGGCGTTCTACGAACACCTTGTGGAGTCGAACCAACACCGGGCGCCGAAGCGAATACCTTCGCGACTGGTTTTATTCATTTTATTATTTTTATTGACAGCACATATGCCATTCATGACCAGCTTGGAGATAAAAAGTTTACTATACTGTTTCGTTAATATTTAAGCATATTTGTAATAATGATAAACAATTGTAAGGGAGGTAGCCAACCTTGTTGGCTAGGTGCAACGCCTGCTCAGAGTCCTTGAGGTCTGCTTCGAGCTTCTTCCTCTGCGCGATGGCGGCCGCTCGCTGCTTCCTCTCCTCCTCCAGCTCTCCTTCAAGGTCGCGGAGCTGCTTCACGATGCCGCGACGCTTCTCCTCGCCCTGCTCCTCTTTAGCCTTCGGAGTGCCAATAAGAGTTAGTGAGAAAATTGCATTTATTAAACTAGTGCCGTATCACATAAGGCTAAACTGACACTTAACGCCGAATAAAAATAAAGTAGATAAACCGCATGTAACACCATATGAACTTACTTATATATATAATTCTCGTGTCACAGTGTTAGTTGCCGTACCCCTTCGAAATAGCTTGACTGATTTTAGTGAAATATCATATGTATATTTGGTAGGTCTGAGAATCGATCATAATCTATTTTTCATACCCCTAAAAGTGACAAGGATGGTGCACCCCAAACATTTTTACGAAAAAACGTTTGCCGGGCCAGCTAGTTATTATGTAAAATTCGACGTTCCATAAAAACGCGCAAGCGTCCATTTGAACAAAGCTATTTCGTATCTGAATCCGAACCGTGTGCCTACCTGCAGCTCGCGCTCGAACTGAGCCCGCATCGCCTGCATGTTGACCTCTAGCCGCAGCTTGGCGTCCTCCGTCAGCTGCAGGTCGTCCTCGATCTCCTCGTTCTGAGCTCGCAGCTCGGCCAGCTGCGACTCGAGCGCCCTCTTCGCGCGCTCGAGCTCGTGCACGTTCTTGTCGGCGGTGCCCTGGGTGTTGGCGAGCTCGTCGAGCTCCGCCTGCAGCGCGCGCTTCGAGCGCTCGAGCTCCTCGACCTTCTCGGCCGCCTCGTCGAGCTCGCGCGTCAGGCTCAGCACGCGAGTCTCCTTGTCGCGCGCGTCCCGCTCGGCGGCGTCGCGCTCGGCCGCGTTGCGCTCCGCCACCGCCCTCTCCTCCGCCACAACCTGCCAACATAAAGGTAAATACAAGTATTTACGCGACACTATAGTAACAAACTGAGTACTTGTACTACGGGTAATACGGGTAATACGGGTAATAATTGATAAACATGCTTTCCTTTTGTACATAAATACACGCTTGTACTACGACTACTACATAATTGATAAACATGATTTCCTTTTGTACGTAAATACATTTTATACCTATATGAACATGCAGACACTATTAACCCGTATTAACATAGTTTTTTTCAGTGTCTCACCATACTTCTCCAGTAGTGGGGATCGACCCACACCCTCAAGCGCAAGAGTCACGTTCAAACCAGTGGTATAAAGGTCGGCAAAGCGTACTTCCTTGGCCATCGTTAATTGTAATCCACTGAGTAATTTCAAATTCAGGTGGCTCGCTTAAACAGAAAGCAACTTGAGTTTGCAATCTCTATGTTGCAAAAACACACCTTGTCAAAGCTCTTCTGTTTCTTCTCCAACTCGAGCACCTTGGCACGCTGAGCTTCAAGCTCAATGTTGGTGTCCTCCAACTCGGCCTGGATCTTCTTCTTGCCTGGATCGGAGGAAACATCATTGTTACAATTTTATATAAAAATCTAATGATTATTCTTTTCCGTCTAAACAAAATACAAATGAATGACAGCGTTTTTTGGAAATTTACACAGATTCATCATCAAATACACCTATGCGGACTTAACGCACACATCTATTAAAAGGCGATCTTAAACATTAAATCTCTGCTTTTCCGTCGTTTAATAATAAGTATATCGTTGCTTATTATATTCTTTAATCTTTTATCGACTGAAATATATTTTTTATTCCACATAAAGAAATTGAATGTAAAGACAATAGTAATAAAAATACAAGAAAGGCGAAATGTGAGAAGGGGCCAGGAGAAGTGACGAGAAGCTGTAAAAGTATATTTCGTTGTACTGACTCTTGTCCAGCTTGTCGTTGGCCTGCTGCAGCTCGTCGATCTGTCGGTGCAGCGCCTCCACGTCCTTGGCGAGCTTCTTGCGCTGCTCCTCGAGGGCGGCGGCCACCTCCGCCTCCTCCTCCGCCTTCTTCTTCGCCTCGACCACCTGCTGGGTCAGGGCCGCCACCTGCGGACGCACCACGAGTGTCACACCACCGTCAGCAACAGATCGTGACTAAGCGTCAGGGCTGCCACTCGACTATTACTCAAATTTTATTATAGCACTAAGTTATGCGTCAGGGCTGCCACTCGACTCTAAATTACTCGAATTTTATTATAGCATTAAGTTATGCCTCAGGTCACCAGTACGTTAAACTCGTATGCAACTTTAGCATAGGAAAACTTATATGAATATGTACCGTTGCCAAGCTATTCGCTTCGGCGTCGGGGCTCGCATGTGCGATTTCCACAAGGGAAAAGGACAAGTATTCGTGTGACACACAGATCAATTTTTCGGATCTGGGTGTTTGTTTCCCAAAGAGGGTTGACGTCAGGCAGACGGTCGATCGTAAAAAAAAGTAGCCTGTTCGAAAGCAATCTGTGGTTTTTACGACGGAACGTTCCGGTACAGCCCTCGCGCTCGCGTTAGTTGCCAATCTACATCTCTATTAGTTGTCATCTAGCCGCTATGCTTTGACGTGACTGACCTTATCGCTCGGGCGTTTTGCGATAACGAAAAACAATACGGAAACGGTGTTTTTTAATGTTATATTCGGAAATCTGCAGCGTACAATATTGTTCAGTTAGTAAGGTCAAGTGAAGAGTTGTGACACGGCTCCATTCGCGCGCCGGAGAACGGATCCACGTGTCTGCCGCGCTGCCACGCCGTACATCAGCATTCCTTACTTCCCCTGCCAAATCCTCACCCAGAAACCTACCCTCCTGAACGGCGATACGACGAGGACAGCGGAATACAGGTGAGTGTTTTTCACTATGACTCGAATTTATAAAACTTATTATGGCGCCGCGCGATCGCGGTATGTGTTCGTTAGGCTTCTCGTTAGGATTCCGGAGCCCTAGGCCCAGCGAGAGGCTGGATTCGGAGTGAATGAAGTGAAATGATATATATCATACTTATAAGTCAGGAAAACTTTATAATACCCAAAAATTAATTGCCAGTCAAGTTTATACGAAATTGATCTCTAAATTACATATACACTAGCAAACATATTATATTATAGTATAAACCTATCGAACATTAATAATCACACTAAGAAAAAGTTCAGCAGCAAGTATTTAATACGCAGTTCGCATTATAAATAATATATATTTGGCGTGTCCTTCAGAAAACAGAACTAACCTGCTTCTCCAAGTTCTTCTTGGCCTCCTCCTCTTCCTCGAGCTGGTCGCGCGCCTGCTCGAGCTGCTGCTCCACATTACGCAGTCGCGTCTGCAGCGACAGCTTCTGCTTGGTCTCCTCTTCGAGCAACGCCTGGAAATAGACCAGATATCACTGTGAAATTCACACATGATGAGATATCAAAAAATACTGCATAAGAGTTCTAGTTAGCACATTAATGCGTTGCTCATATGCTAGACGGAGGCAACAAATTCAGCTTACTGTTCCAAATATGACATGTGATGATCGCGTCAGCGGATTCAGTATACCCATCTATATTAAAGGGGTTGAAATTTGTCTCTCTGCGAGCTTTGGTAAGCCTTTTTTTTAGGGAAAAAACGCCGCTCATGGACACTTGTAATAACGGAAAAGTGAACTACGCTGCCGGCGCTTCAGGTATAGAAGTAGGCACCCTTCTTGACAGTGCTTAAATCGTATCGGTCCGGTACAACCGGATTCGCTTGAATAGGAGAGAAGGGTCCCCTGCAGCTATGTTTTGGTGAGTCAGACTATTTGCTCGATCAGTAGAGAAGAGATTTTTGCGGGAGGTAGCTTTGGCGAGCCGGAGCATTCGATTGATCAGGGGAGAAGGGTACCGCAGGAGGTATGCGTTGGTGAGTCGGACCATTCGCTCGATCGGAGTAGAAGCATACCTGCACTTCAGCGTGCTGCGCGCCCGCCGTGGCGGCCTGCTTGAGTGCGGCGGACGCCTTCAGCTCCGACTGCTCCAGCTGCTGCAGCGCCTGCTCCGCCTCGCTCTGCAGCCGCACGCACTTCTCCTGCACCTCCGTCCTGCGGAATGACGTCACTATGCGTTAGGGTGGGGTAGTTAAAAAAATATTTTTTCAAAATCCCGTTGGTAAATATTTGGGTAGAAAAGAGAAGGGAAGAGAAGGGAAGAGAAGGGAAGAGAAGGGAAGAGAAGGAAAGAGAAGGGAAGAGAAGGAAAGAGAAGGTAAGAGAAGGAAAGAGAAGGTAAGAGAAGGAAAGAGAAGGAAAGAGAAGGGAAGAGAAGGAAAGAGAAGGGAAGAGAAGGAAAGAGAAGGGAAGAGAGTGGGTAGATCACCTGGCGCGGTCCACCTCCTGCAGCTTGGCGGCCAGCTCGGCCAGCTGCGCCTCGGCCTGCTTGCGCCTGCGCTCGCCCTCGGCGCGGGCGGCGCTCGCGCTCTTCAGCTCGGTGGCCAGGTCGGCGTTCTCCGCCTCCAGCGCCTGCTTCGCCTTCTCAAGCGCTGCAAGCGTACCGCTCGTTGAGCACAGTGTGTTTATACCTCACGATACCGCACCACTCAACTAGCGGGCGACGTATCTGGATCTCTTTATACCTCACGACGTCCGCTCACCAAGCGAGCGACACGTCTCGATGTAAGTACACAAGCAGTCAAGTCTGACGGGGATAATGCTAGCCACAGTACATCGTACTTTTAAGGATAGACGACGTGACTGTGTCCTATTCTCCCACGACACAATTTCAAATATGCTGTTCATCCTGCGAGAGCTTAGGTCGAGTTGGGTAATTTTTTCTTCGCCAGAGAACCAACATTGCCCCTCTAAGAAAGAACTCTCCGTTTTGCCTGTACAATGCGGGTCCATACTCTCCCAGTCCCAGTAACTACATGATGGTTTATCGAAGATAAGCAACAATTTCTCTTACTTAGGTACCTATATCTCGCATATCGAAGATTAAGTTTATGTGGGCAGCACAATTCTGTAAGCACCTTTACTCTTAATAGGAATTTCTAGGATGGTCACAGTAAAAAAAGATTTTACTATCCACATTCATGGTATGGCACCTTTAAAGTTAACTAATATTTGGTTCATAATAGGTACTACCTAATCTCTTATAAAACTCAAATACCAACAAAAGTAACTTAAGATTCGAAAAAAAAGTCGTGGTCAAGTAAAACCGTTTTACCAATTCAATCGCTTCTCTATTCCGTTTTTAAAGCACCGACGTTTCGAACACTACAGCGTACTCTCACGGGAGAGACCGAAATGTTTCACTATGGGGTTGCCGTGCCGTACCCAAAGGGAAAAACGGGACCCTATTACTAATACTCCGCCGTCTGTCTGTCACCAGGTCTCTCATGAAGCGTGATAGTAAGACAGTTGAAATTCTCACAGATGACGTATTTCTGTTGCCGCTATAACAACAAATACTAAAGAACAGAATATCAAAATATATATAATTAGGGCTCCGATACAACAGACGTGATTTTTCTGCCGTTTTTATCGATAACGGTACGGAACCCTTGGTGCGCGTGTCCGGCCCGCACTTGGCCGGGTTTTGAATAGGTCGCTTTAGTTTCAAAGAAGCGTTTGCATATCGATGCGAGTTACTGACAGACGCATCGGTCGGACAGGTCGTCCTCCCTGCCGTTGTGCGCGTTGCCCCCGCAAATGTGCTGCCAATATTCCCTGGTCGAGTTGAACGCGCTCCCCTCATCGTGGGGCGCTAGGGACACGTCGAAGTTGTCGTCTTTCGACAGGCCGAACTTCGCGTTCTTCTGCCTACGCTCTTTGGTGGCCATCGCAACGGTCCGTCTCGGTGGCAGCGAGGGCGAATGTGTTGTAATAATATGCAATTTAAAAATAAAACTCTCCCGCAAAAAATATTTGTATATCGATTAGTATACTCTCATAGAAAATTTGACAATGTACGCGACACTAGAAAAGTTTGACAACAACTGACGCGCTCGGTTCCGTTTGACGGTTGGCGAGACGAAAAAAGCTATTCAAATAGAGAACCCGAAGCGAAAAGGTTGCGTTCAGAATAGGGTAAATGGATAAATAAATATTTTTAGGACACACTTTTACACAACGTTATCTAATCCCTTACTAAGCAACGCTTGTACTACAAATACTGGATAACTGGCAAACGTACTTAAAAATACTTTTCTTTTGTAAATAAATGCAAATTATACATATATTAACACTCGGACACTAGAAAAACACTGTTCATCACACAATATTTTTCCAGTAGTGGGGATCGAACCCACACACTCTGGCACAGATGGCAGATACACTACCCTCTACGCCATTCGGGTCGTCAAGGTTCTCATGAGTTTTTAACTTTTTACTTTAACGAAATTGAAATCTGAAGAGTTTTTCATGAAGCAACATCAAGTAAATTTTAAATTGTATTTTTTTTTTCAATCCAGTAGTTTCAGTGCATGAATAATACATAGTGCAACAGGCCATACTGATCGAAATACATTTCTTTAACTTAAAATCGTACTTACGGTATGCTTTGGGGCAATAATTTTTACATACAAACAGGTCTAGCTTAATAGCTTAATAGTCTACTAAAAGAAAACGCATTAAAGTAATATATATAGACAGATATAATAAATTTTGTTTGGCCAGTAAATGTTTACGGTGGTAGGGCCACGCAGCAGCCTCGGCTGTTGCACGAATGGGCAGGCCCGTCCGGGTAAGTACCACGACCTCACAGAAGACCAGCGTAAAGTGGAAGTATGACATATACTTTCGCGTTTCGTCTGGTGAGTGAGGTAGCCGGAGCGCAATTTTCAAAAGGATGTCAACGCACTGTAGCCCTCGGGTGTGGCGTCCATGGGCGGCGGTATTCACTTAACATCGGGTGAACCGTCTGCTCGTTTGACAACTTTTCGCATAAAAAAAAATGTAAAGCTAAATTATTCATAATTACATTTAATAAACCCGTAACAAAAGACTATATAAGAAGTTATTTTATGTAACCTAATTTCTTTCTTCTGCCCTTATACCACACTAGGGTCGGCACATGTCCTTTCAGATCTCCCTCTAGCTTTGCATATAACCTAACATTTCCTTAAAAAACTATTTTTACTTTTCATGTCAAATTTAAGTCAAAAAACAATATTGGCAAACAGTTCTCATGTTGTTATAATTATGAGTACAACACTTTATTCACTTATTTTTTATCATATGAATGATTTTAATGTATGTGCATTATTTTAATTTTATGGATGCATTTTACAAGAGAATTTGTATCTGATAGAGACTTTAAAAATACCTCTTTACCAAATATAAAATGATATACTTCTAAGCGCGTATTAGTTACAAAGCGATCATTACTTACAAAGGGGTGAAGGAATTCATAAAAATTGTGATAGCTCCCTCTACGTACAAAACTTACCAACAAGTTGCATGTCTGTACGCATAAACATAAGATCCGATAACGTGAAGTGAATTTACAACAGCTTATCAAACTTATATTTAAATTAGTCACGTTTTCCGTTATGTTTTCTTCGACATCACAATGGAGCGGCATGAAGTGAAGTCATACTTCTTCGTTTCGTCCGGCGAGCAAGGTAGCCGGTACTAACATTATTAAAAAGTAGCAATGCATGCAACCAAACAGAATGATTGAAGAGGAAAGTTTATATCTGGCTTAACCTTACGAGATAGATCAAATTAATGTACTATGGAATTCTTTATGTTAAAAAGATGTTTGCACTGTCACACGGGAAAAAAAACAGCTGTTAATACTGTATATAAATGTATACTGTATGTATACACTAATCATAATAATAATATTGTTAATCACCACCCACATTATTGTTTACATTTCTAAATCTCAGAGGCAGAGAAAGCGTGGAGTGCATCATAGAATGCTTTATTAATTACTAGCGACCCGCCTCGGCTTCGTATGGGTGCAATGTATTATATATGTATATATATAAACCTTTCTCTTGAATCACTCTATCTAGTAAAAAAGACGGCATTAAGATTCGTTGCGTAGTTTTAAAGAACTAAGCATACATAGGGACACAGACAGACAGCGGGACGACTAGATTTTATACTATGTAATGATGTTGTTATACACGATTGGATATTTCGTTAATTAGGCGTCGTAGGACTTAATGCTTTATACCACTATTGTGTAGAATTTGTTCTTGCTATTTTAATGGTCTAAGAAAAATAATTTTGAAAAATGTGGAGTCACTATAGTTATACTTTTTTTGGCATCAAAATCATTAAATAATTAATTGCAACAAAATAATAAAAAGACATAAATAGTAAAAATAATAAAATTATGAAAGCGCCATCTACATTCTTCATTTAGAACTGTAACCTGGCGAATGTCATTGAGAATATGCTGCTATCTATAAAAATTTGCGGGCAGCTTCAAAGGTGTTACTTTTGTGTTAGAGTGATGTGCGCGCATCATAAAATATCACTCATTCATCATTTTTTCATAACGCGCCTAAAGAAGTTTAACTTAAACAAAAAAAAAAAGGAATAGTGCGTGGAGTAGCTCCGCGCGGTAGAAGTGAAACCGAGTGACACGCATCTACTCTCGCTCAGTCTCCTTCCACTCCCTCGTCCCCAGGAGCGTTGAGCGTTCAACGCAACAGTGAGAGCACTCCCCTCCGTCGTAGCGTTAAACGTTTTTAAAAAAGGAACCGCCACTAACCGGCCTTGGCCTTCTTGATCTGCTCGTGCTGCTCGTTGAGCTGCTGCAGCTCCTGCGAGTGCTTGTGGCGCTGGTCGGCGAGCGAGGCCTCGTGCGCGGCCGCCTCCTCCTCCAGGCTGCGCTTCAGCACCGCCACCTCCTGCTCGCGCTTCGAGCGCAGCTCCTGCTGGGCTGCGGACGGCGCACGGGCGCGTTACGCTGCGATCGGGGTCATTGTGATGGTGATTGTGTGCGGGGCGTTGCGCGTACCGGCCGTGGTGTCGAGCGAGTCGAGCAGCTCGCTCTTGAGCGCCTCGAGCTCCTCGTTGAGGTCGCGGCGCAGCTTCTCGGCCTTGGTGCGCGCGGCGCGCTCGGCGTCCAGGTCCTCGTGCGCGTCGGCCAGCGCCGACTCGGCCTCGCGCGCCGCCTTCTGCGCCGCCGCGCGCAGCGCGCCCTCCTCGTCCGCGCGGCCCATCGCCAGCGCCAGCTCCTCCTCGCGCTTCGCTGCGGACGACAATATATTGTGCAACATCACTCAAAGAACAATTTCTCAAAGAACAACCAAAGTTTTAAACATAAGGATGTAAACCTTTCAAAAATTGCCATGTATGCGGCCCTATGGACCCAACCTTTCAACAACAAATGGCATAAATAGAACAATACAACGATGACATATCAATTTCAATAATAAGATATGTAAAGATAACACTAAATATAAACTACATTTAATGTTAACCGGCAACTCACTAAGTACAATCTGCAACTCCTCCACTTGCGCCTTCCTCTCTGCAAGCTGCTCCTTGACATCTTGCAGTTCAGTCTCCAGCTTCCGCTTAGCCCTGTCCACCTCTTGCCGGAGCTGGTGATCCTATAAAACATTGTAAGTATATTTAAATTAGCTTACATTTAAAATTATTAATACCTGAGTATGTGTAATCTCTTGGAGAATATTCTCCCTCTGAGCGTTAACTGTTAAGCTCTTAAGAGGAAATACGAATATCAAGATTATTTATTTTGTATCACTTTGGCATAGCATACTTTGAGCAATTTCTCTTCTAGTTCTGCGATTGCAGACTCCTGCTTGGTCTTCAGCTTGCTGAGGTGTTTCGCTTTCTCCTCCTCTTCGGCAAGTGCCTGTGACAGATCGTTGGCACGTTCCTCCAGAATCTGTAAAAGCACAACACAAACTTTATTTAGTAAATACTACAGATAAAATGTAAGGAAATTATATAATACTTTCTTTTTTTAATCATTAATCTAAATAAGAAAAGCTCTATTGTTTTAGCATTGAAATAATATATCTGTAAAGATTGACAGTTCCATGATTAATATTTTTAAACAAATACTTTAAAATTGGGACAGTATTAATTAAAATTATTAAGGTGAAAAATAATTGTTTACACCAGATTTCAATCATATTTTTCTAATAACAATATATTGTATGCGGTAGGTGCGACATTTGAATCATATGTCACTTGTCACCTTCTTCTCCTTGAGCAGCTTCTGGTTGGTGTCGTCGCTGAGCGCCAGGTCCTCCTCGAGCTTCTTGAGCTTGGCGTCGCACTGCACCCGCTCCAGCTGCAACTTCTGCCGAGCCGCCTCCTCCTCCTCCAACTGCTCCTCCAAGTCCTGCACGCGACATTTGCATGAGATAACACAAATAACGAGGTCCTCGGTGAATTTGGTAAATTTTTAAGTGGCTGAAATTTCAATAAAATATAACAGAAAATATTAAATTCTGTAGAAAAAATGGACGACAAGTTTTTCGCCGCTGCGGGAATCGAACCCACGTCTTCGGGAGTGGCGCCAAACGAGGTACCAAACAACGACGAAAGAAAAACATTCACCTCCTTTTTTGAAATCGGTTGAAAGGAGCATTGATACAGAACTAGAGTCCGCACGATAAAATTCCGACATGTCATCTTGAGCGACATATTGTCCTCTACGTCAGATATGAGACTTTGTAGCACCAACCTGTATGTTGAGCTGGAGACGCTTCTTGTCCTGTTGCAGCGCGTTGCAGCGCTCCTCCTCCTCCTCGATGCGCCCCTCCAGGTCGTGCAGCAGCTCCTCCAGCTCCTGCTTTCTGGCGGCGGCGCGGGCACGGCTCTCCTCCGCTTCGGCGCATAGCTCCAGCTCGGCCTGCGGATGGTACCGATCGCTATCATTCACTCCCGTTCGATCTCGTTCATTCTCAGTCAATCTCAGTCAATCTCATTCAATCTCAATCATTCTCATTCATTGGACAAAATTACTCACGCTAGATAAAAGCACCGGTCCATAAACGTATATATTATTGCACAGAGGCCTCCCCTTTACAAAGTTATTTTTAGCATAATCTCCCACAGGCTTCACAGGGTTAACCTTACATCTTGCAAACATACTTTAAAGTCATTTTTAACTGAACAAAGATATTGTTTAAGGCACACCATAAAATGGCTCTCTAATACAGATTTTATATATCTCAACGTGACTTCAATATAGTTCGTACGTAATACACATAGTTAAAACGTTATAAGATTATACTGTTTAGTGAAGACGTTTCGCTTACGCTAATTTTGTGAAGGCCATAATGCAGATTCAGTAATTGGTAGATGGTTTAATCGGGATCAAACGCAAGACCGACATGTGTAGAGATATTCTACTTTAGTCATTTTTTGTATTAGTAAAGTCTTGAATGCAATTTCGGGTGTAGAGATATTCTACTTTAGTCATTTTTTGTATTAGTAAAGTCTTGAATGCAATTTCGGGTGTAGAGATATTCTACTTTAGTCATTTTTTGTATTAGTAAAGTCTTGAATGCAATTTCGGGTGTAGAGATATTCTACTTTAGTAATTTTTTGTATTAGTAAAGTCTTGAATGCAATTTCGGATCAAGGTTCGGTGGTAGTGAACGGCGGGTCACCTGCAACTGTTCAGCCAATTGGGTCTTCTCCTGGTTGGCCTGCTGGTATTTCAGCTCGTACTCCTGGCACCGCTTCATCTGGTTGTCCAACTTGTCCCTGATCTGACGGAGCTCGTCCTCCTTCTGCGTCAACTTCTCCTCCTGTTTGGTCACTTCCAGCAGCGGCTTCACCTGAAAAATTCGAAGTTGTTCATTAGCCTAGATTTGTTCTGCAAAATCGAATGTTAAAAGAAATGTACCACGAATATTATAAGAAACAGTCGGGTCTTCTCATTGTAACGAGAACGTCTTATGATCCTGAAGTATGTTTCGATACTGAAAGATCCTGGGGTATGAACCACCGACTTGTAGCAGTGGCATTTTCTCATACGAGAAATGCAAAAAACTGAAGATACATTGCTAAATTAGTCTAAATATATTTGAAAGGGTGCATTATTATGATTTCTTAAATGTTATCTATAAAAATTACGTTTCTGGACATTGTTTGGAGCGTTATACACGGCTCGTTGTTAGATAACTTTGAACATGGAAATCTTTAGCGCAATAATAGAGGTCCACATAAGAAAAAAATTTCGAATATCATCGATTTAATTGATATTTAACTGTTGCACTAACAAAGTTACAGAAGAAGGTGCAACTTATGTTTGCGACTGGTTTATTTGTTTTTAATTGCCGCATCTTCACTTAAAATAACAAGTTTGATCAAAGACCTAAACTGTAAATTTCAACACAGTTTCCTGCTTTGTTTCTTCTCTATTAAGATCTGATTAAAAAGGTACAAATAATTTATTTCCATGTTATAACAAATAAACAATAAATGTAAAGTTATATTCATGAATAACTATGAATTAAATTTTATTAATTACATACATATATAGGTCGCTAATGTATATCTTTATACAAGATATAAAAGATTTGTCGTAAAGAGTTACTCAACAACGCTATACATTTAAATGTTTGTTTGTATATATATACATTTATATATGTTGATATATACCTGGGAAGCTACGCACGAGCCCATCTGTCCGTATGTTCAGCGAACGGCGGTTGCATAACGCGCAAGGAATAATTAACAATAGAAATAGTTCGCACAAAGGCCCCATGTCATTTACAACAGCAATATTTTCATAACACGATGGATATATTTCAAAACCGTCGATATACCGGCCGCCTGTTACGTGTTTTGAAAATTGGGGCTTGTTTAGTTATATTAACATTACGCGATTGGACCAACTGTTAACTCGACGATATTATAGATACTTCGCTTGGCGTTGGAACATTTATCGAATAGCATGTAACGTAGAGTTCGATTGTTATTTGTTCGATTGGTATTGTTGACTAAAAGATCTCTTTCGGCCAAACAGGTTAGAAGTTGACCAAGCAGAACACCTGTACAATCATTCTATTGAGTAAAGTTAAATATATAAAATGATCCAAAGCGTGTAGTTAAGTTTTTTTTCCTTTTCTACCAAAATATGCTTGGATTAGTTTAGGATTCAATCTTGAGGTTTTTTTGTTACTAGATAAACCCGACCACGCTTCGCTATATTCTTTTTTTCGTTGTCTTTATCAATAGCTATGCTTGTTTTCAATCCATATACTTAGCATAGTTTGGGACTTTCACCCTAGTTCGTTCAGTTTTCTGTATCTCTAAAAAAAATCAAAAACTTTTTGTACTTATATGTATAATATAACATTTCCTATCACTACTGTATAAATAACAATGGAAACGTTGCACCGACCTTGATGTACAGCCTCCACCACTGCCAGTTCCTCAGCTTGAGGTACGCCGCGCAGTTCCTCTGGATGATGCGGATCGCGTTGAGCTGCTGCAGCCGCTTCTGGTAGTTCCTGCGCGCGAGGTAGCCGCGGCAGAACGCCTGGAAGTTGACTATCAGGTCCGTGATCTTGTAGTCCCTCTCCTCCTCGAGGTGGGCCAGCACACCAGCCCTGAAGAAGATCTTCGACTGGCCCACGCGGTACAGGTTGTGGTCCAGTTCCAAAGCCTCGATCATCTGCTCGCACGCCTTCTTGCCGTCCATGAAGCCCTTCGGTATGATGTTCGGGGTGAGCAGCTCGTAGCGCTGCCTGAACTCCTGGAACGGTATCCTGTTGGGGAAGCCCTGCCTGCATATCCTTATCCCCTCGAGCACGCCGTTGCAGCGCAGCTGGTCGAGCACGAGCGGCGCCTCTATCTTGCCCGCCTTCTTCTCGTGGTTGGGGATGATGCAGCGCACGAAGTTGGGGTTCGTGTTCCTCAGGGTGGCCATCAGCTTGGTCAGCTGCTCCTTGTACAGCTGCGAGACGGTCCGGAACATGCCCTTCCTGGTGCGCGCGCCGAACTGCGTGTCGGTCATCGCCTGCTGCGCCATCCCCACGATCTCCGCGTCCTTCCATATGTGGCACACGAACGGGTCCTGCGACACCTGCAGCAGGGAGACCACGTTCTCGTTCAGCGGGTCCATGTTCTTCATCAGCCACTGCGACGCCGAGTAGTCCACTTTGCCCGCGTAGTGGATGATCGCGAAGTCCGCGATGCCCCTGAAGTCCGTCTTCATGAACTTGGGGTGGACGGAGTGGGCCGACACGAGCTTCTCCACGAAGCTCTTGTCCGTCGCCTTGGGGAACCAGCACTCCTCGTCCAGCAGCGCCATTATGCCCATGGGCTTGTCGATCAGGTCTATGGTCGGCTGCAGGTCGAGGCCGAAGTCGATGAACTTCCACTCGATGCCCTCCCTCTGGTACTCCTCCTGCTCCAGTATGAACATGGTGTGGTTGAAGAGCTGCTGCAGCTTCTCGTTCGTGTAGTTGATGCACAGCTGCTCGAAGGAGTTCAGATCGAAGATCTCGAAACCAGCCATGTCGAGGATACCGATGAAAGAGGCGCCCTGCCTCTTCGTCCTGTCCAGAGACCTGTTTATCCTGTTCACAAGCCACCTGAACAGCCGTTCGTAGCAGGCCTTGCCGAGCGCTTCAACCGAAAACTCGACCTGCTCCTTCGTCTGGGCTTTCGTAACAAAGTCGCGGCCCACCTTGATGCGCGGCTTGAGGAATGCTTTCGTCATTTCTGTCACGGAAAGACCTAGAAGACAAGAGTAGTGCCATATGAAAATTATCTAATAATAATAATAAGGAATCTTAGAATCCAACTTAAGGTTTTAGAGGATGCCATTAGAACATGGTCATAAGCGTAATTAGTGCCGTTTTAATTACAACAGAACTGATACACAACGAAGAACGAAATACTCTTCGTTTTCTTTTAGCTCTATTTCACTGTAAGGTCTCTTACCGAGCAAATGCGCGATCTTCTGTGCGACGGTGTTGTCGGGCAGCGTCGCCTGGTCCGAGTTCCTCTCCTGCTTGAACTGCATCGAGCCGAAGAGCAGCACGGCGGAGACTATCCTGAAGATCGAGTTGAAGTCCTCCATGTTCATGCCCATTATGTTCATCGACTTGATAGTGGCCTGGAACTCGGCCGCGTCGTCTATGCCGGGCACGGGCAAGGAGCCGTTGGTGAGGAACGGGTAGTTCTTCGGGTCCTCGAGGATGTACTCCGCCTTCTGCTGCGCCGTGGCGCCGGCGAGCAGCTGGTAGAAGATGTGGAACGTGCGCTCGTCCTTCGCCTGCCTGATCGCCCTCGATTTCTCCAATAAGTACGTCTCGATGTTCGCACCGGCGATGTAGCCGGACGCGTCGAAGTTTATCCTGATGAATTTACCCTGGAATGATGGTAGGCGGTGCGTTAGTTTTCCTAATAGGTTCGCAAGGACAACCTAACTCTATGCGACTCTTAGATATCGCATACACAACCCAAATCTATGTATGCGACTCTTAGATGGCGTATTTTTTTTTTTATATTAAAACCGACAGTCTGATAGCCGCACACAGTCATTAGTTAGGATTCAACTTATTATAAATTGTTTCATTTACGCATTGAAGATATTACTTTCCTTTTCTATTTAGTTAAGAATCCTTTTCGCGAGTATGATAAGATACTAGGCGAAGCGTCCTTTAATGAGTTTAAAAGACACTAGTTTTTGTATTAGCCCAGTCATAGCATATGATCGGAGGCTATAAAGCCTAAAAAATTTGATTTTTAATGAAATAAATAAAAAAAATTAAACAAAATATATGTGGTGGTATAGTTTGTGCGGAAGGAAGCGAGCAAATATTATTATATTCAAATATTAAGGAAAACTATGACAAAAGACGCATAGAGTCGCATACTTTATAATAACATTACAGCTTCAAAGTTGTATTACAATTTTACACGGAAATGAATCACTCTGCACATTTAGATTGAACAGTGTATTCGCAAACATTGCTCATGGCTTCATCAATGAGTTGAAAGTTTGGCGATATTCCAAAGTCATTTCCACGCCGCCACTAGAGATTCGCATTCAATCCTGAGGCAGGCTGGTCCGCCTTTATTATAATCCCATGAATAAAGCAGCACCCTCGTTTATTTGTTAACTTTAGATTTGCTAAAGTTTCAAATTCAGAATCGCTACATTGATTTATATCTCCCGAAGTAAGATCTTCCTAACTGGCAATGTTTGACAACCAGTGATATATTGCCCGTCACATTTGAAAGGTTCAAATTAATTTTAAGATTATGGTCATGACAAATATAATTTCTCAGTATGTCGGTACGCTAATCTACATTTAATACTTTACCAAAGTTGATGAGATGAGACATCGTTTAGAAGCGTAATAATCTTAGCGAAAAATAACCAAATAGTCTCAATGTTTGCGTCAAAAATGCTTTAAAAACGCAAAGGATATAAGGGGCGTCGTCTTTTAACGACGCGACGATGAATCTATTTATATTATAGTAATAGTATTTTGACAATCAATAAGTAGGTGCAATGCTTCCATATTGAATTTATTCAGTGGTATTTGTGTTAAAGACACATACAACTAAAAACTAAACAGTAAACACGATAATGTGCGAAAAATGAGCACGGGTAAAGTTTTACTTACGATAAAACTAAAGCTTCTGCACAGTGATCCTGTGTATTGAGAATATTTTAAAATAACCACTAAAGCATGAGGTGCAATGATTACTATTATTAATTTTTTCTCGACTCTTCATCATCATCCGCCTGCTGTCCCACTTAGGTTGGGTAAGCAGAACACGTGAATGATGTTGTAAGCGGTTTTGGCTATGTTTATCACGACCGGCCCGCCTGCCTAACATCAATCCTCCTTGGGAAAAAACACTCTGATCCGGAACAATTATCTGTCTGTCACACAAATACTTGTTCAGTGTGGGAATCGAACCCACGACCCCCGACACCGAAGCCAATAGCTTAAAAACAGCGTCAACGACTCCTATACACACATTTATAATATTGTACGGGATACTCACGAATCTGGACGAGTTGTCGTTCTTGACGGTCTTCGCGTTACCGAACGCCTCGAGGATCGGATTCGCCTGCAGCAGCTGCTGCTCCAGTTCCCCCTGGGATCAGGTCAAACAGATCTATGATTTGTTCCGGCCGCACGATAAAATCCCAGAGGCCGTAACCCATATACGCCGTTTGTTAGTAAGCTCACATGCAAATACATTCAAAATAATAGCTAATAAAATATATTATTTCGATGAATAATCAAACGTAGTGATTTAAATAATATTTTCCGCTTAGAACAGGATTTCTTCTCTCAGCTTGCAAGACCATAGTTAATACCCTGAAGAAGCCGATGTATATATATTTGCTTTTAAGCTACATTTAAAAACTAATGCGTCGACTTTTACACGCCACATACCATCTAGTCCTAAACTCGAACGGTTTTTAAGGCTAAATTTAGTGTATTTTTTAACAATTTTACGTATCTGTATCGTTAAATATTGAGCTTAACATAGCAATGGAGTAAAATGTTGTGTTTGGATGCCTTTAGTTCACAAAATTGTATCCTGCTCAGTGTACATTGTCTAACCATTTAAATTCATCAATATAAATATAATATAATAATATATAACAATGTGTGGACGTAGCTAGTGGGTGTTATGACACTTCCATTAAAAGCTAAACTCAGGGACGTGAATTAAACTTGTAATGCTTTGCCAACTGGGCTCTTATTAACAAGCCTTAAGGGGCGGATTTAACTCTATATAATGGGTAATCGCCGCCTGCAAGTATCTAATCTTATGAAGTCTCAAGCGTGTATTAATTATTATTAATAAATGCGAAATCAAATTGCATCTCTAAAGATCAACGATAACGTCAGACAGTTACCTCGAACGTGGGCCCGTTGCTCTTTAGTTAGGAAGCAGCGTGAAAAATTAAAGTCGATCTTAATGGACATTAGTCGAAGTCACGAGAATGTTCTCGATCGAATTCCAAGTACAGTCTGTGGATTCAGAAAGAAGAGGAGAACGAACCGAGTCCTCCCAAAATACCTTGTAGGAGCAATACGTACTGTCGCACCTAAGGCCACAAGTATACAAAACTGATGCCATCCAACAACGGAGGGTTATATCTTCCAATCTTCTCTCTCTAAATCCACAAACTATAGATAATTTTTCTACAATTAATTGCACATATAGTGTTATGAAGTATATATTGCATATAGTGTTATGAAAATTAAAAGTTTATTAAGCATAAATGGAGTGGGTACGATAACTAATGAAAAAAAAACAATCTGGGCCGATATCGGTCGTTATGAAAAAGATTTATCGCCTGAGGTTCGACAAATCAGCGATCGGCTCGGATAACCACTGTAACAATTTTTTTTTAATATATATATATATATATATATATATATATTTCTAAGGGAGATATGTTGCCCCATATACATGGCTTAAATCCGACACCACTTATAAATAAAATAATATTTACTACAAAAAAACATATTGTAGTGGACCGAATTGTGAATCTGAACCATTCTCGAGTCTGGGATCCGAAAGGGACGCAAAAATTTCATCAAATTCGGTCCAGCCGTTTTGGAGGAGTTCAGTCACGCGCACAGAACAATTATATGTCTAAAAATATACGTATATTTCAGTTAAGCATAATAAAAACTATTCGCACATTAAAACAACAGCAACATCATGGGTGACAGTTCACATCAACTGGCATATAGGCCATGATGTTGTCCTATAACAATGCTAATTATTTCTCAATAAGGGATGCATTTCCAAGCCTATAGGCATATAAAAACTTGATAAATATTTGATGAGAGAATGTCCAAAATAATCGGTTTGTTGGATTTACGTGAATATTAGACGTTGGTAAGTAAAACTATGAGACTAAATTTATATCGTTGATTCTTATCATAGCCGTTACTGAAGTAGTTTAGTTTAAAACGTCCAGTATTCGAAATTGATTCTATTTACGAATTCATATTTACTGTGTATCTTTTTATTGGAAGTTCAAACTGTCTTCCGTCTCTCTCGTGCGCTCGATATCTCCGAGGGTGAGGGAGTCAGTTGTATTTACGTAATCAATAACGCACGTAAAACAATTGCGGGCCCGATAGCTGTTATCACGGCACTTTCGAACCGTTGAAAACATGCCTCAATGACTGGTTTAGGGTTGAAACCAATGATACTATTATTTTATCACGGCCTGGCCAATACTTGAGTTCCATACAATCTGATGTAGTAGTTGGTAGTAGTTAAGTCGATTTCACTTATCAATTGTCCTTTCAAAAGCACCCCCAGGTCGCCGATTAACTATTTCCCGCGTCGGAAACCCGCAAACGATAAAGAAGCAAATAACAACTAAAAATAAATCCATTACTCCGGTAATTTTCCTCAATTTATCACATTTAAATGACTTTAATTTGACACCGCACTCGGAACACGAGCTTTCCTTGTTGCATTCCTGTATTTAATTTAAACAAGTTCTAAATGAAAAATATTTGCCAGCAAATGTGGTCAAATTCACGGTATGTTCATCGTCATTTCATACTGTTTGAGTCCACTGAACTCCCCCACAAACTGCCACGAAGCAAGATCCTGGGCCACCTCCTTCCATCAACTTCCCGCACACTTGCACGCGTTTTGTTACACCATTGATATATATATTTACAACAGAAGCCAATGACGGACGTCACAAATATATTAAGGTTAATTCTCAAGCACGATAAACAGGTTAGTGCAAAGCATCGAGATATATCGTCCAAGCAGTTTACAAACGGATTTAAGAAACATGAATGAATTAGTTGATTGATACATGTTTGACAAACATTCCACAGCTTTAGTCGAGTGCCAAAGATCTAGTCAACATTCGGCAAAAGTGTAAAAAACAGATGCAGTTATTCAAATGGATCAAATGTTTGTCAAACATACGCACACCGATAAAGGGTCACCATAGACGATATACAGCGATGGCACGGCCAATGTTTGTTACAAAGCAGACCTCATCACCACACACAGTGCACTTACAATGATCAACTGCGGCGTAGGTCCCTGGAGTAGTCATCAGCCGGGTGCAGAGAAGAGTGGGTGAGAAAAAAAAAAATAAAAACATTATATTACAAAAGACAATTCTCCTGAAAAAAATAGATACCAATGTTTTCACTATAAAATCTCGTACAGACGTGCGATTTACATCTACTTTCCATATGTTCACACAAAGGTATACAGTATATCTGTGTCTGTATATTTGAAAATTGATTGATGTGTCCTTGTGTACAAAGACACATCAATTTTCATATATTGTATTGTGTGTGTGCGTGTACGTTACATCCAAATTGGACAGATCTTTTCTATAATCACAGATCATCAGAATAAACTACATCAAAAGAGACACTGGCAGTGAATAAAGTATAGTAATCGGCGACAAATATTGCACATCGAGTTTTGGAAAGAGACAATCAGCTAATATCACAAAAGCCCTAAAAGTCCGGTATCCATTAGGAGCAAACGTCAAATACGCTAGTCATGCCAAATAGGTACCTAGTAGTGCGTGAAAGAGATAACGCTCTACGGAGCCGAAATCAGCCAATTGTCTCTTTCCAAAGGTCAATGTGAAGTATCACTGTGTACAGCATTTGCATTGCATCTGAGAAACGTGAGATTTATGATCCTGAACATTTTTATGCCGGTGCAACCTTAACCTTAAGACAGATACGAACGTTCATGACCCCAAAAATAGAGCGTTACCAGTCTATTTCTGGTATACAAGAATAACAAACAACGCTTACTTGGGGCCGCACTCAGAAACGTAGATTAGCGCTTCTAGTATTAGGTCATTTGAAGTGTGATAAACCGGTACTTGAGACTGGTATTCGTAAATTTAAGATTTAATTCTAAATAAGTGCTAAGGAATTCTGAGTGCGGCATTTTCAATAAAAGTAGCAAACGAAAACATTTTCATACTTAATTACATTAATTATATATTCTATACGAATAACCGCAAAAAATATATTTTACATACATTAGCGTAATAAAACAGAAATGCAAATTACCAAATGATAAACTGAATAATTTTCTGGCTATATATATACAAATCTATGTATAGAACTGAGTCATAGTGTTAAATATTGGTTAATGTTAAATATGCTTAGACCACACCCAGAGAATACTCATCGCTCTGTTTATAGTTGATAATAAGGGTGACATCACACTAGAAGCGGTTCTAAGCTCTGCATGTTGATACAGATCAATTCCGTTTTTTGATGAAATCATTATCACTCGATGAATAATTAATGATTTACCGCTCATTTTTTTACACTGGTCACTGTAAGTAAATATTTGTAACAATTCTTTAATTTAAATTCTCTGTACTATCATCAGTATTATCGTAATAATTATATTGAAAAAAAATCATATTACCTCTCTCTATTTAATAATTATGTAGACGACAGCTATTGGTAACTAAGCAATTCTTATATTCAATTTTAGGCTCGCACCCAAATTACGTACTAAATAATACTACCAAAGCTAAAATCTTCACATGTATCGGGACAGAGCGTTCGAATGTGGCACGACCTTTACAATATGTCCATATCCTAGCAAATGTTGTATTTGGATCGTTATTCGGACAGTTTTTTTTTCTCAAACAAAGTACGCTACGGGGAAATCTAGCAACACTTATCGTATCCATCTCAACCCGTGACCAAAATTAAGGGTGACTGAAACCATAATTTGTGCTTAAACAAAAGAATAGCGGATGTCTACGAGGCTTCACTGAAATTAGCTAGGGCAGTGACGTCATCAGCGTATCAAGTGCCCGTTTTCACCATCGATCCCTAACTTTAAGGGACTTACCTAAAAATAAGTGCTCTATGTTCGGCCTTTTAGCGCTAAGTGATAGTTTATTATTTAGTGAGCGCATGCGTATAATTATTTTGTCAGTCAAGTCCTGATGATATTACTTCATACTTTTTTAAGTAATTAAAGTTTAAGAAAAAAAACGAAATGTAATTTGAGCTATAACAAAATGAAAAACATTTTTTACACTCTATTATTGTGTATTTATTTTCGAGTCTTAAAACTTAAAATACGATGTACTGATTAAAAGTCATCACCTAGCTATTGGTGAAAATGAATTAAGGTCAATAATTTAATAAATCACACAAAACTTTTCTTTTTTCCGCGTGGAAATGACAATCGGCAGGGCCAATGAAACCACTGAGCTATCAATGCAGTCAATTGCCGTCATTATCATTCAAACCTCCATTAAACGTTCGATTTCAATCTTGACAACGCTCACTCTTAATGTCGGCTTTAATAAAGGAAACAAAAAAGAGAATTTGCCGAAAAAATAATAAAAGTAACAGAGGCACTTCAGGCACAAAAAGCTAACTTACTTGACACGGCTTTACCGTTCCTTACTATTATGGTAATAAAATTCCAATTCTTCGCCTCTTACGCTATCCAAGGGTGGAGATGATAAACAGAACTTGTGTCACTGACATCTTTGGTATTTGAAATGTATACTTATAAGTTCGAAGAGGAATATAGCTGATTTTGGGGAGTACGAAATGATAATTACATCTAATAAGGAGCATAATTATGCACTTCAAGAATGATCATAGGGAACACACACTCTTACCCGAATTCGATAGTCGAACCAATAGAGAAAGCGCTTTGAAAGTCAAAACAAAATTAACGAAAACATAATAAGTACGAAGTAAACAAAAATAATAAAATTATATAATAAACATAAACAAGTTTCGTAATAAATAAAAATTTAACAAACATATTAATATTAATATAAAAAGAAAACAAACATAAATCATATTTCGAAATTCTCAACAAAGTTTAAACAAAAACCAAAAGACTACCAAGATAACATGAAGTAAAAGAGATTAAACTCTTATATAATAAGGAGCATTACCCCTCCGGACCCCTTGGGTTTTGAGGCGGCGACGTAGGCGAGATACTGGATGACCTTCTTCGTGTTCTCGGTCTTTCCGGCGCCAGACTCACCGGTGCAGAGGATAGACTGGTCCTCACGGTCTAAAACAAACGCTTTTCGTCAGCGGAACTCTTCACATACAACTACCGCGAAAAAACTTACACTAATTAATTGTAATGAGTCTTTTCTTTGGTAACTATGGTTTAATAATTGGACCATAGTCACCAAAAAAAATACTTTATTGAAACAAATACATAGCGCGCAATACACATTTTAGAAAATATAAGCGAATGATTTAAATATAGGCTTTTTGATACGCTTGCTGAAGTTATTATATACACGTTTAATTTCGACGAATGTTGTTAATTTATTTACAACAAAAAGGGAAAAGATGTAAAAAAAGTTGTAATTCCAGCATGTATGAAATTCGAACATAATATCCCATAAAGTACATCCGTTACTAGACAGAAGACAAATGTAGTTTGTTAGCTAGGTTTTTATATTACCATTTTTAGTTTGTTAGCTAGGTTTTTATATTACTATTTTTATGTGTTTAATCATTTTTGGTTAATTTTAGTCTCTTTAGGGAATTGAGCTTATATTTTAAACACTGTAATTTATAGTTCGTAAAACGGACAGCGAGCCAAAGGCGGCAACCATATCGTACAAAACAAGACCATGTTATTTTTTAAATACGACATAAAGATCCGCCCGTTTTTCGGCCCTTTTCATATTCAAGAGATAAGACTGCTATAAAAATCCTTAACCAATGTTCTGATCACAACCATGTGATAACGAAATTGTTACCATTTAATAGGTATTAATTGGAAGAGGATATTACGTTTCCACGTTAAAGTTTACATATATCTGTTGACTGTATCCCAGTAGCTGTAAGCGACAGATTAGTTAATATAAAAGGTGGCTACGCATCTGTAACTCCACGGGTGTTGCCAATATCAATGGGCTGCGGTTACCACTTAACATCAGGTGAACTGCAAGCTCGCTTGCTAACTTCTCACATGTAGACGTTCACTCCCAGACCCCTAGTTACAGCCCTGTCAATAGACCGGTTTTTCCAGCCCGCTCATTAGCCTCCTGCCTCGTACGATGACGCGCGTGCCGCCGTATACTTTAGCATATTGACGATTCTCAAAGCGATGAATATGCTCGTTCCTAGCGTCGCCTGCATGCAAACGGCATCGCTTTGTAACCGACCGAAGGGTGAACGCCGTTGGAATGAAAATTAGCCGACAGTTCCCGGTAGCTCTGCACGCGTCGGGCCTAAACTAATCTCCGATCAGGCGCGCATCTCGACGTTTAGTTTGACCAAGTCAGAGGTGTAGGGTGAATTTTATATAAGACGTAATTAGGACACGCGACAAAACGATGTACAGTTTTCTTGGTTATATGAATATAAATGATTTTATCTCATTGTGGAAACGTGCCAACGTAGCATTGAGTTAAGGAAGCAAGTAATGTATCTTCTTTTAGAGATTTTCTTGATCTCGACTCAGTGGCTCTGAACCCGACGACAGTACGAAAGTACACAGATAGAAGAAAATATTTGTTCCCAGTCCATCAGAACTTTATTTAAACGAAAATTAAATAATACGTCACCATTTAATCAAATTAAAATATAATCCGCGCTGACGCTTTCTTCGGTGATAACAGGAAGAATTCATAGATGTAAAATGATTCATCCTTTATTTTTACGTTTGTGCAACAGCTTTAATAATCAATTTTTGGTAATCGTAAAAGTTTTAAGATAATGCTCGATTCCCGTAAATATCGCATTAAACATTAAAAGACAGAGAAACAAGAGCGTGATGCGGTATAAAATTTTCACCTCCAAACATACAATAATTACAATAACTTTAATAGTATTATGAGTTCATCTTTTACTTTTTACTGTTAAAATTTTCATTATTTTTACTTTATTTCAATTTTATTTTTGTTGGCTGCATGCATGGAGCTGAACACCAATCTTACAAGGTATCCGCAGAAAACCAGTGCCAGGGTATCGTTTGCCGCGGCTATATACTGAGCGTTGACTTCGGTTATTTCGTGTTTTTTATTTTTTTTCTCCTGTAATATAATGCGCAGATTAAATATTTCTTTCTTTCCTTCAAGTTCATAATTGCTTCACGGCTATATAATGCAACATTCAATACCAAAACACAATTAATTTTATCAGAATGATCTTGAGGCCAACATCTTATTCATTTATTAAATGTTTCGTGAAATGGTCTGTTAAAGACAATGAGTAATCTACAATGGACTAAAGGTTATAGGCCAATTATTATTACTTAAATACAAATAACACAACCTACTTATTGAGCGGTTACATTTAACACGAATCTAAAAAGTTCGTTAAATTTGTAAGAGACAAATAATATACTTTTGACGCAGACTACATGAAGTAGGTAATTATAGTGTCATTTTCAGAAATGTAAATGGTATTAATTTCGTATGTTCGTACCTATCGAGGTATCATTGTAAACCTTTGGTTTTTTAAATTGCAAAAAATTAGCTTTTAAATACTCCATAAAAATAGAAGTAAGTTTATATTTCTTAGGTTTTTTTTAAATTATATTTTAAATATCTATCTTAGACTTATTCCTTCTAATATTATTTTGCAATTTCATAAATTTAAAGTGAAGTGGCAATCTATATAATTATGTGCTGAGCAGATGTTATAACGTTTGAGTACGTTATAAGTCAACACTTAATTTGCAATTAAACAATTTCATCGGCACCGGTACCAGGGATTTGAACTCAGGTTGCTCGAATGTTTTGAATTAAACGCGAGCGTCCGGGACATTGAGCTATCACTTTAGCAATTTAATAATACTTTACGAACTTATCTTTTACCCTATGTTTCTCACGCTTCTAGAATTTACCAACCTATCAGAAAATTATGTTCTACTACATATCATATTGCTTGAAAGAGACTCCTGGAGTCGAGTACAATTAAGGCGGCGCAATCGATTCGAGTCTTATAAATTCAATGCTATTTTAACAGGAACGCAACAGCGAGGACAGATAAGCGACAGGTTAGCTAATGACCACTTGTCTAATTGTCCACTAATGGTCTGTCGCGACAGGGGAGCGCAGGGCCGATACGTCCAAGCCAAAGGCTATAAGCGGTTAAAAAAAACTTTCTCATTTCAACCGCTTATAGCCATTGTGGCTTTTTTATGTGAAAAAGTTGGCAAGCAAGTATGCAGTTCACCTAAGGTTAAGTGAAAACGCAAAATTATAATACTTCCACTTCACGCCAGTCTTCTTCAAGGTGGTACTTCCTAGGACGAGCTTGCTTATTCATGCAAAGAGCCGCAACTTTACTGACAACACGCAGCTACCACAGTAAAGTTGAATAGTAATTCAGGAGACAACAGTGGTTGGATTTTAGGGATCAATTTTAAAGGAATGCAAATATAGGATAGAACTGTGGTAGGGTCACGCAGCAGCCTCGGCTGTTGCACGAACGGGCAGATAAGTACCACGACCTCACAGAAGACCGGCGTGAAGTGGAAGTGTAGTACTTTCGCGTGTCGTCTGGTGAGTGAGGTAGCTGGAGCCCAACTTCCAAAAGGTTGTCAACGCATCTGCAGCCCTCGGGTGTAGTAGATGTCCATGGGCGGTGGTATTCACTTAACATCAGGTGTACCGCCTGCTCGCTTGGAAACTTTTCACATAAAAAAAAGGATTGCTCGGTAGCTCTTACCTTGAAGCATGGAGCGATATGCTGTGTCCGTGATGGCGAAGACGTGCGGCGGCACCTCGTGCCGCTTGATGCCCTTGTAGCGCTCCATGATCTTCTCCGTGTAGATTGGCAGCTTCTTGTACGGGTTCACCACCACGCAGAACAGCCCCGAGTAGGTCTGCGGATGGAAAGATCGATATAAGCGGCGTTCGATTAACTTGGTAGCCAGAGGAATAGACTTGTTTTGTTGTCCCTTGAGCGAGTTCACAAAACTAGCGTTGTAGTATATTATTCGTTATGTAATTAATCAATAGTAAAAAAGTCAATACATAATTCAAATATAAAACAAACGCAAAATATTTCGGTAAACTACTATTCCATCTACACGAATTTAATTGATGAATTTACACGAAAAGTTAAAAGTAAACTTATGGCTAAAGCTTATTATACTATTGCTGAATATCTTGACGACGTTTCTTGCCGGTTTCTTCTCAGAACAGAAACTGCTTTCCGAACCGGTGGTAACTTACGAACATATTAATTAATACTATTCAGAAAAATGGAGGCAGGTCCGTCCGGGTAAGTACCACGACCTCATAGAAGGCCGGCGTCAAGTGGAAGCGTAATACTTATGTGTTTCGTTTGGTGAATGAGGTAGCCGGGGCCCACTTTATTTATTATATTTTGCAATGGGGCAAAATCTCAATGAGCGGTGGTTATGACTTAGAATCAGGTGAACCGCCAGCTGGCTCGCCACTTTCACACGTAAAAACAACAACAAAACAGTTTAGTGGTTACAGTGATCGGACCTAACGCTCGTCCTCCAACAACGTTTCTCTTAGTCAGACGTGCATTAGCTTATCACAAGGAATCCACCGCAACCGAGTCAAGGGCAAACGCACCCTACAATTATCAGCTTTCTGCTGTGTGTCGCAATTTGGGCACATTGTGTTGAAGAGGGATCGACAAATTACAATTGGTCAAGGACATCGATCAGTTGTTGATAAAGAATTAATTGATAGTCTTTCAGCCAAAGGAAAAGCAGCAAATTTTTCATGAGACGACTCTCGTTCGACGTTCGAAGACGAATCCGATTCCTAAATAAGTTTGTATAATTGCATCACAAAAAAAAAAATATAACAAAAAGGAGAACAAGACCGCAGAGTTTCTTTCCGTTAGTGAACCGGTGTTAGTTTTTTTTTGACGTTCAATAAGAGCTAAGTTAAGCCTACATTGAATAAAGATACTATATAAGATTTTGAATTTGACTTATGTGACATTTTAGTCTTAGTAACAGTCTCATTTCACCGTTTGCGTACGGAACCAGAAAACTATATATTATGTAATGTGCTTCAATCCGCGTTGCAATCGCGTGGTAAACTGCGCCCTAACACCCTCGGCACAGAGGAGGATTCTGCCCAGCAGTGGGACATTTATAGGCTGTTGCTCTGCTTCACTTTCGATATGCAATTGTGAATGCATCACAAACAACGAGCTAAAATCAGATATCGAATTAAATTCGTGATCTCGCTACGCGTGCGGCCGAGTCGAAGATCCAGGTCAAGAGTACGCCAATGAATTGTCAATAAAGTCATAATGCAAACGGGCTTTTAAGGAACGGTGCATTACATGCGTCTAGGCCCAACTAGACGCCGTAAATTAAGTCATAATTCTCTTATGGGACAATGTATACGTTTTCACAATAATATCCCAGAAAACGTATCAGATGCTAAGTTCAAAAAAATATATATAAAAGAACCTTCGTGTGATAAAGACTATTTTATAATGTTACTGATTACTTAAATGGAAATGAATTATACACATGTTGCTTTGGCGAATAATGGAAAAAGTCTCGCAGAGTTTCTTTCGTCGGTTCTTCTCAGGTCGGCGGTAGTATTTGACAATCAATAAGTAAGCGTAATGGTATTGAATAAAGATATTTTAATTTGAATTCAATTGCTAATAAATACCCAGCTCTTTGCATACGCCGCCTGATACAAAGTTGATGCGACGGAATTGTTCCAAGGACAAATTCACTCTTCAATCGAGGTATTTGCCTTCAAGGAGCGTAGGCGTAAGGTCTTGACGACAATTAAAGTTAATATTCCTTAATTTTACTCCCGGTTTCTGAATCTCTGAATTGAACAGAACGATCTTCTTAATGATCAGAATGATCAATTCAAAAAGTTTAACCATCCTTTTGGCAACTCAAATGACATTTGACAACTGATTGGTTAATTTCTACGATGATCAGTGTTCCAGAAACCGGGCGTTATTGCTATATAATTTAATTTTTTTTATATATTTTATTATTTAAAATATATAATTTATATATCTTAACTGATACGCGGAATGAGTAAAAATTAAAAAGTGGACCGTTGCACAATAGAATTAAGTTTTTAATAAGCGTGTAGCAAAGTCCATTAGAAACAACCAATAGAGGAATATCAGCAAATATGAAATTATCGCCTTAACAATAGCACTCTCATTACAATACGAGTATAAAAGTTTCTGTTTATATGAACGCTTGAACAGACCTAACGTTCAAGCAGCAAAGGCTACAACAATTGTGATGAGATTTGGAAAGCACATATATTAGCAGCCTACGTATAAAAACTAGCTGACCCTGCAAACGTTGTCTTGCCGTATAAATTGTTTCTATGGAATTTGTAGGGTAGAAAAAAATATTTGGGGTGGACCACCCTTAACATTTAGGGGGATGAAAAATAGATGTTGTACGATTCTCTACCCTGGCCGATATGCACACAAAATTTCACGAAAATCGGTCAAGGCGTTTCGGAGGAGTTCAATTACAAACACCGTGACACGAGAATTTTATATATTAGATCTAAATTGCAAAATTCTTCACGGGATTTAATTAAACATAAGAACTTTTTCAATTTTAACTTAATTTTTCAATGTTAACAAACTTAAATATTCAAGAAATTTAACTTGCGTTTAAAGGTTATTTTTAGGTACATATTTCTATTTGCTCACAACTATTTTAGGGCGTTATTAAGAATTCACTGAAAAAACAAACGTTTACAACGAAGAGGGCCCGTTGAACGGCTTTGAAATCTATATTACTACGTTAATTTTGAAACAACCATAGCACAAGAATAGGAAGGAAAACACGCAGCTTGCATTAGACTAGACTTAGATCATAAACATGCTTTAGTTTTAGCCATAGTGCCATGGACCAGTCGGATAGGCAAATTGAATCCATCGGCTGCGCGTTATCAGGGGTCGCGGATAAGATAACCCGGCTATAAAAGCCTTTGATGTCGCCGAGCTTGACGATAAACGTTCTCTTATCCGTTGTGGTGACTTCTCGCAATGTTTTGACGAAATAATTAGCATTGTAGCATACTAGATTTCACAGCGGCTTCGGTTTCTTTGGTTCCGTTAAAAAAACCGGCTAAGTGCGAGTTGGATACGAGCACGAAGGGTTCCGTAAACGTATCTTATAAAAACGTGTTTTATGGGAGCCCCACTTAAATATTTTTTTCTGTTTTTTTAGTATTTGTTGTCATAGCGGCAACAGAAATACATCATCTGTGAAAATTTCAACTGTCTAAATATCACAGCTCATGAGATACAACCTGGTGACAGACGGACGGACAGACAGCGGAGTCTTACTAATAAGGTCCCATTTTACCCTTTGTGAACGGACGGAACCCAAAAAAACGTGTTGATTAACTTATAACTTTGAGCGATATTGTAGTGAGTGCAGAACAAACACATTTACATGCAATCTTTTGCATTCACAATGTATTGTTTGTTTTAACTTGCTCTTTATTATTTTTATTCTATATATATTTTTGCCTTTATTTAACAACAAACGATACACTATCCATATTTGTTTTTCTATAAACATTAATTCGTCCTAGCTATAAGGTTCTTCGGAGGTACATAATATTGATTTTCGCTTTTCGTTTTTCGGAGGTCCAGCTAGATACGTCGACTTCGACGGCTATAGATGGTGACGAAGGATTTCCTTCGAACGGCGCATCTAAAGATGTAACAGACCAGAGCGCAAGAACCGGCGCACCGGCATTCAAAGCTGGACGCACTCCTAATTTGGACTCTCCTTGGGGGTTGTCTATTGGTCACGTGATGTTTAGTACCATTTTTGATTTTGTGTATGTATCATTAAAATTTATGACGTCTTTTGGATGCTATGGCGTTCCGAAAAAAAACACCTTTGCCAAAAATATATGGAGATTACCGCGCGCCCCATATCATAAAAAGCACATGTGGATTCATATAACCAAATTTTGTGGGGTTTTTTAAACTCACAAAGTTAGAATATATAAAATACTTCACTACTGCGAAAGAGACAACATGCAACATGAGCAGCTGCTGCGTGGCTCCACGTCCTCGTACCACATGTTTCCGGTATTTACTTTAATTGAATTCACGCAACAAGCTGCCAATTTGCCTATTAAGTAGATTACTGAGGCATAAGATACCTGACCTTGACCCCGTATACTTAAGGGTCTTCCTTGTTGGCAAGGTCCTTCCTCTGACGAGACGACGCGATCATGGAGGAGAGCCCGTAGCCTCAAGTTGGTTAAAATCTTATGCCATTTGATATTTAGTTTACATATTTATTTTTTTACGTGAGAATTTGGCAAGCGGACTGGCAGTTCAACTGATGTTAACTGATAACCGCCGCCCGTGATATTTGCAACACCTGTAGGGTAGCAGGTGCGTTGCCACCTTATAATAAAATGGGCTCCAATTTTTTTTTTTTTTTTTTTTTAAACATTGCCCTCACTGTACGACAAAATTATCCTGTGTTGTAAGGACGTTTTACAAACATAAATTGCACGAGGCCAAACACCCAGATGCGAAACAACTATCGGGGGTCGTGGGGTGGAACCCACGACCCCCGACGCTGAAGCCAATACTTTGGTAACTGTGCCACGGAGTCATCCAATTACCTCAGTAACCAGAAGAAACACAGAAGTATTACACTCCCACTTCACACCGATCTTCTGTGAGGTCGTGATACTAACTATTGGCGTACGCCTAAGGCCTTGTATGTATCTCCGAAGTCCAAGGGCCAGTTCCAATGAAATACAGCTAAACCTAATCAACGGAATTCTGAGATAACAAACATAAACAAGTATATTTTTTAACAAAAAGAAATCGACTTCAATCAGGAAACGAAAAACATTGTTATAGGTATTCTATAACATTTACGGTGGTAGAGCCACGCAGCAGCCTCGGCTGTTGCACGAACGGGCAGTACGGGTAAGTACCACGACCTCACAGAAGACCGGCGTAAAGTGGAAGTATGATAAATACTTTCGCGTTTCGTCTGGTGAGTGAGGTAGCCGGAGCCCAATTTCCAAAAAGGTCAACGCATCTGCAACCCTCGGGTGTAGCAGATGCCTATGGGCGGCGGTATTCACTTAACATCAGGTGAACCGTCTGCTCGTTTGGCAACTTTTCACATAAAAAAAAAAAAAATTAATGAGGGCTCTCGATTTCTCTGGGATGCCATCATCAGATCCGGGTTTCCTTATCACGGTACCCTTGGGATATCTCCTTTTCGACAAAAACAGAATCATCAAAATCGGTTCATAAACGAGGAAGAAACGAACACACATAAACAAATATATACGATCGAATTGAGAAACCTCCTCCTTTTTTGAAGTCGGTTAAAAATACAACCAAATTTAGAACCTCCTCGTTTTTGGAGTCGTTGGAAAATAAAGATTTATTGGTGCGTGCTCGAAATCGAAACTTGTGACAGTAGAAATACCTAGCGGTTGACCGTGTATTTCCCAGAGTGCAAGTGTCAGAGTAAAAGTACAGATATTATTTACGTCATTTGCTCTCCCAAGCCCAGTAGAATCACCACCGTGCACGTATTTACTGTCGCATTTTTAGCATCCAAACGAATCATTCTCCCGAATACGCCGTCCAGAGTGGCAATGGGCCGGTCACGTTTCCCGCAGAAGCGACCACCGTTGCAGTAAAGATGTGGTCAGCTGGACACAATGTCAAGTCAAGGCAGGGAAGACTGGTCAGGTCGAGCGACAGTTGCTGGGAACTGATGTTCAGAGCCGGAGATTGAGCATGCCTTAGCAGAGAGCCTATCGCAGACTGGTGATAGTGATGATGTCTGCTTATAATCTCCCATAAAGACAACACCATTTTTGACAGGAATTGACAGGACAAAAACCGCTTTTAATTCATCCACCGCGGCCAGTCTGTACATCTTTGTCACGGATGGATAAACATTCAGTATCACGCAAACCGTACAATACCTGTTTGAGCGTATTCATCTCTATCATTCACAATAGTTTCGTTTTGTTCAAAGCGAACGCATAATTTTAGACGGAGGTGCGACTTATATTCGTGTGTGCGTACATAAATTTGGGTCTAAATAAAATATTAAAATACTGGCTGCTGTCCGCAACTACGTCTGCGTAGAATAGGCCGAAGGCGTAACATTCAGACAGAAAGACAGAAATACATAAAAATGTATATAAATTAAAGCTTATGTGTTATTCTAATGTATAAGCTATATTATTGTAAAGTTTCATTAAAATCCATTCATTAGTATTTGCGTGAAATAGTAACAAACATACATCCATCCATACATACAAACTTTCGCCTTTGTAATAATAGTAACGATATCTACGTTCGTATATTTTAATAGCGTCTAAAAGGCGTTTTGAAAATGTATGAAGGTATAAACGGTCGCCGCGCGTCTTTTTTCTCTTTTGCCATTATTTGTTCTTTTTAATAATGTCTGTTATGCCAATCAAATGTCAGTTATATTGGTCGCAAGGTAGTCGCAGGGTCGCAGCAATCACCTATTAATCTCACATATAGTTTGTTTTTTACTATAATGACATGGTCAGACATGCATGATCAGACTCATTCACATTAGCTGGCCCATTCATGTAAAAAACTAGAAGCTGCTGATTATCTCTAACGCAGTAATACAACATCAAGCTATTAGCGACATATTCTCCGTCCTCCTCCCATCGTTCGCTGGGAAGGTCCTTGGACTAATATTATTAGTTAGTATATACGCCTGCACTCGTAATGGATAATCAATTTCTGCTCCACTTGTATAATGTTTGATGATAACACGGAACAGTTGACCCGTACCGACCCACGATAACCGGTCGTGGCATCTTGTAATATAACAATGCGAAACGGCATTTAGATTTACGTTAATTAACGGAAGATAAGACAAAGCGGTATAATTGAATATTAAATAAATCTGAGATAACTAAGAAATTCGTATAAACAGTCTAACAATATTAGGGCCTTAATTATTTAATAACTGCTCAAAAATTCTGGAGAAAACTTTTAAAACTCGAACGGTATATGTATCTATATCTATGCGTTACTTATCATCCAATGTTTGAGCATAACACGTTCCTGAGCCACCTGTAGTATATCGTCACTCCATCTAGTGGGGGGTCGTCCTACACGGGAGATATTTTCTATTCTATTCTTTTCATGACTAATAGAATCGCACCTAATGATAACGAAATATCTTGAGGTGGTATTCGTTCCTAAATATAGTGCGTTGCGCTGCAAATCACTACATTTTTTTTTAATTCAAAAACTGGCTAGCACTTGACTGCCATCCCGCCTGATGGTAAGTGGCCATGCAGCCGTTGTTTGTTTGTTTTATATATGCTTGGATCTTTAAAACTACGCATCGATTTTGATGCGGATTATTTAATAGACAGATTGATTCAAGAGAAAGGTTATATAACCATAGGTTGTATATATGTATTATTCATGCATAATATAGTAGAGAAACACTGATTATTTTACAGGTTTCTAATGCGATGTCGAAAACAAACATTCAGCATTGCACCCGTGCGAAGCCGGGGCGGGTCATTTATAAACTATAACGAGAGTATAATAAATTCACTTCACGCCGTTCTTCTTTGAGGCTGCACGTGAACGTGCCCATTTCTGCAACAACAGAATATGCTGCGTTGCCCCAGGACGAATGCTGCAGTGACATCCGAATTTTCGAGGAACACAAGTATCTGTTTTGTAAGATAATACGGACTGCTTTAATAATAGAAATGCGAGTTGTTGCATCTGACTCTTATTCCCGCCGCAACTACCGAAACGATATGAATGGAATTAGAAGCAATGGATAGCTAAATTAAATGCAATAGACTAAATCTGTGATTTTTCTTTTATCAATTTTCTTAAGGTTCACCAACATAAGACACATTAAACAAGCAAAATAATTAAAAACGTAATAAAAAAAAAACTGTGAATGTTCCAACAATTGTAAATGAAAACAGCTTTCTTATCTATTACAAAAATAGCAGTAAGAAAAATGTTAACAAAACTAAAATTTTACTTAATTGACCGGTCTGTGATAGCTCAGTGACCGAGTGCTAGCTGGTTTTAATTCAATATACTTGAGCAATCCGAGTTCATATCCCGGTCACTGCCGGCACCAATGATTGTAAATTGCAATTTCGGATCCTGACTCATCTCGCGCGGACAACGGTGGAGGGAAACTTGCATACTTTCGCGTCGTGTTTTTTTTGTGTTTTTTATTTGTAACTGGTCAGCGCTTGACAGCCATCCCATCTAACGGAAAGTAGCGATTCAGCCGTTGATGGTAAGCGCGCTAGCTCAGCAAAAGCCTGTTCACACTTGGCGTAATACCCTCTGTGCTACACTTAAAATCCCCCGAAAGTTGGGTGGCGGCCGAAGCCGCGTACAAAATGACAAACGCAATGTGTGTAATCAGCTGACGGATCGGACAAAGGCGCAACGTACGCGATAGCAAAACGTGACTCACGGTCATGGCACGCTGGAGTTATACGATATTTTAGAGTATAAATAATATTTTTATTAATAAACAATCAATTTAAATTTATTTTTTATTAATATACAATGGATGCGCCACATTGTTTTTTAAAGGCTAAAAAACAATGTACTTAAAAGACGTTGTGATTATCGTAGGAGTGGCAATCAGCCGTTTAGCTTAGTGGCTAAAGCGTCATGGCGCGAATCCAGAAGATGTGGGTTTGATTACTAAGCGACGAAAAACTTATCTTACTTTTTTCTACAAATTTCTATTTTATTTAAATCTAAAGTGCACTATAAAAGTTTAAAGTACCAAAAAAATGTATCAATATTACAATAAAAAAATAGAAATATTAAAGATTTTATTTAATTTCGTATGTATCTCATGATGGTAAGCTGAAACTCAAGAAGCGAAGATCTGGGAGGTCTTCGCTTCTTCAGTTGTTCAGACCACACTGACGGTGTGAGCCTCAAGTTACACTAGACTAAACGTACCAATTCTTTTTCTCTACGCTGATCTAAAAGGCAGTCTTCCCAGGAAAAGCTAGACTACTCCTGCATCTTCAGTTGTCGCTTCACTTGCCTAACCGAGATCACCGCCTGTCTCGTTACGGGTGTTTATATGCTCAGTACAGCGTGGCCGGCGCTGGCTGACGTGAGAGGAAGCAATAAAACGCACAGAAGTACAGGATCTTCAGTACGTTGTTGGCCAGTCTCCAGATTCTACCCATCAATGTAATCGAGGATCGGTGTCAAGAGCGATTCGATTGTGCAGCCAAGGCCGCAGCAAGCACACGCCGCGGTTACGATCCATTATGGAACACTGCTAATGGGCATCTCGCCGTGTTTACTGTTTAGCGATTAGAGTGCTATAACATTAGTGATGGGTTTAATAGGGGAATCTTTCGATTATAACACGAATTTAAACTCTCAAGATAAAGGCGCCGTCTGTGATGGGGGACACGTTTTATTGACAGTTACATTTAAGAAAATTAATGTGAAATGAAACGCTATTTGGAGAATCAGTGCAACACAAAATTTTTATTAAGCAATAAAAACAGGCACGCTTAAGAACCATTAAAAACGAACTTTGGTAGGGCATCATCTTATCGATGGATGTAGGTCTCTTAGACCGAGTTCTATTGCGGACTTTCGAAAAGACCTCTGTATAGCACTGATCTAGAAATACTAAAATTATCAGAACTGGGTCTAATGGGACGTTATCAGCGAAGAGCGCGTCTCGGAATTACAATTAGGCTGCCATGTTACTATGAAACGAGTGAAGTGTGTAAACAAGGGATCGCTTCCACGTAAAAACGTACTGGCGTGCGAGGTTACCGCTTATCTATTGCTCGTGGAGGTATCTCGAACACCTCTATTGCGAGGGAACAGAGTTCAAATTCGCTCCGAACGAAGTCAAGTATGTATGAGTCAGAGCGACGTGTACGGCAGGCTGACACTGGCGGGCTGCGCGAGGCATTTGGCCATATTTGGTCATTAAAGGCCCTCGAGATAGAGCAATAATGCCTCCACGCCAGCACATTAGTCGTACAAGGCGAACATTCGACTTTTTCACACAAATTTTGGGTTAGCAGAATGTACAGTCGCGTTCGTAGCTCGCGTGTAACACAATCAAACGTGTACATTAATATGAAATTGATATAAATCTCAAGCAAAGTAATTGCACACAACTGTACAGGGTTGCCTTATATGCCGAAACCAGCGCGACGCAAAGAGGTATAGGCTGAAAATAAACGAAAAATAACTAGGCGTATGACTTTTTTTTTCCATTGACACAGTTTTACTTGCACTTAGGAGGGCCGGCGTGCTTTAAGAGCGGCTTTTAAAATGCGACAAATGAAATAAATCCAGAGGATTTAGCAAGACTTTAACGATAATAATTTTAATGATTTATAGAGGGACAACATTGGATTGCTTTGAGTTATGTTTGATCCCCGACTCGTGACTTTTGGGAGGGATAGGAGCTTACCATTCGTCATATAAGTTTTCATAAGCATTACAAATGTTCTTAGACTAACTCGCTCGCTCTGACGTATATCCGTGTCTTTTTTCAATATCTTCGTCATTTGAGCATAGGTCGGTGATGGCCAGTGGCTGTGTCCTCGAACTAGTTATGTTAAGAATATGTTCCAGGAAATTTCTAAAGTCCAAAAATCACTGTCCCATCATTTTGCCAGCTAAACGACAAAGGTCCGCCTGTTAAATTAGATGATAAAAAGTAAGCTCGATAAAATGTTGACAGTAACATTAGCTATTACTGTCTATATCGTTAGCCTCAATTGGAACAAAATCTAATTTTCTTTCAGTCTTCATCATCATCATATCAGCCGTAGGAGGTCCACTGCTGAACATAGGCCTCCCCCATTGACTTCCATTTCGACCGGTCGGTAGCGGCCTGCATCCAATTTCTTATGGGGCAGAATTCCGTCACTCGATTTTAAAATACAGTACACGAAACGGGGCTATCGTATTGTTCAATTTTCTAAGCTCCACATTGGAAACCAAAATTTGACATAAGCATATTCTTATACCCACTGAAAACAGATTCACGAGAAGGTCCCAATCAATTTGGAAAAGCAACATTCATCATCCGAACTCATAACGTCAACATCAAGTTAAAAAAATATCTGATAAACTCGTCAAAAATACAAAAATAAATTGTTTTTGGAATACCTAAATGTTTAAGCAGAAATGAAGTGCGGTCATAAATATGTTTGAACAATTGAATCCTACGCTTCGTGAAAATGGATCCTAAAATGTATCTCAGCCAGCGACCATCAAAGTACAAAGTGCTTATATAACGTTTTGGTCTTTTCCAAAAAATAACCTAGCCCAGTTTCTGAATACGAATGTAACGTTCGTTAGCACTTAAAATTAACAATTTCATTGAGTATGCTGAATTATAAGCGAGCGCACGGACAATGAGCTATCACGGCTATTTCAATAATACATAAATCGAATTCTACTTCAAGTATGCTTCACTTTTAATTCAGTACCCTGCTCGAGCACCCTAAAATCATGTCATGTCATGTCCTGATGTTGACGGAAATCACAGATGGAATCGTTAATTAAATTATTCAGTTTTTATTAAAAGGGAAAGTTTTGTGAGAAATGGTGCATTTCCCAGTTTTTTTTTTTTTTTTTTTTCAATGAGAATCCAGCTGAATCGCAGTTGAGTCCCATGACGAACTATGCTCTAACTACTATAATCTCTGTACAGAGAAGGTTTTTGATTAGCAGTGTGACGTAAAATGTTAAGAAAAGATTGTGTTTAACATTTTTACTTGGTAATTTTTCGAAGAAATGTAAGTACCTAGATTTTTTTATCAACAATTTGACTTGTTTACTTAGTGAGTTAATGGCCGAAATTTTAAATTAAGTTTAATATACATTTCTGAGATGCTTATGACTAACAAAATGCAAGAATGTTGTGAACACGAGTTCGATGAGTCACAAATTCCAACGACTGTGACATACAAAGATATGGCGCGCAGATATTGGATCCTTGTGAAAAAAGTATACAGAACAATTTTAAAATAATTGGGCCCCAAAAGGTTGAGCACCGCTGACTCAAACAATAGCCACTTCATATTTGTCTGTAAACATTAAACCTAAGTACGCACTATCACCCACGCTCCTACCAAATTAGCTAAACAAACGGACGATTTATTTTTATTGCCCGCGTGAGTTATGGATATTCTCAAACCGCAAAATTGTACAGTCACCTAGAGTGCGAGTTTCAGATTTTAATTAAAAATTCAGTTCTCATTTGTTTTAAGTACCAAAGACATGGCGAAGATCACCGTACTCTGCTTACAAATTCCGAAGGTATCTCGCGGTAGTCTGTGACCACAGTGGTATATCGTCGCCCCAGCCAGACTATTGACTCCACAGCAGCCGCAGTTTTTGGACTATACTTTGAGCTCTCTCGTCGCCCCAGCCAGACTCCACATCAGCCGCAGTTTTGTACTATACTCCAAGGGAGAGCCTCTATCACAGATATCTGTGCTTCCGAGTGGAGGGAGCCTGCGGTCCTAAATCAATATCCGTTTTCTAGATCCGTGTTGGGGGGCGCGCTGGGACTTGATAAGCGGTCGACTGTACACTCGCCGGCGAAGCATCCCTGTGTGCATGCTGCAACGGAGATAACATTTTACCGCTCCAAATTTAGACTGTGGTCGATTTCGGTGACGGCATTATCCCGCTTGCTCGATATATACCGTTATTTATTAAACATATTATATTACTTTTATCCTTGGACGAGCCGCTTTCCCTATTGTTCGCCTAGTTTTAAGCCATTCAAATATATTGATACAAAATTTCGCATTTGTAAGATGAGTGTGATATCTTATGCAATCAAGCAAATTTTATAGTTATTATCAAGTTTATTTTCACTAATTGTTTCATAGTGCATAACAGAGTAAAGTTGAGTGAAAAATTGATCAGAACATAATTTTTTTGTGTCTGCAGTTCTCTGGTAGATTACGTCTGGGCATTTACGTGTCAACAAATGTATTGTGGCAGCGAGAATTCTTCGAGTGATTTCGAGATATAAAACTGATATTGTATTGGATCACCCGTTGACATGTGTTAATAACTTCGGGCAACAGACACCCACACACATTACATATGACGAGATGATATAATACTGATGATCACATTCGAGTACGTAAAAGATTCCACGCCATATAATAAACAAAAATAGGCTCAGATAAGTTCGGAAAACCGAACCCACTACCCATTGCAATGACGATTTATAAAATCTGTTCGTAAATGACGTAGTTTTGAGGTACCAAACTAACATAAAAGGAAAAAAACCACCGAATTGAGTGCTTCCAGTTTAGAAAAATAATAATTTACGTTCATTGCACTACATATTGAATAGCAATTAACCTAAATATTAACAGATATCAAAATCAGACATTTTTTATTATTATTTTTTGTATACCACTATCGCGTTCGGTCCGAATGTTACTTTATAAGTTTCACTAAGCACGAAGCTCGTGTAGAAAGGCATAGTGGATGCGGACTTGTTGGGACCCTACGGGTAGGGTCACGCTTACATAAATACGTGCTTTTTCAGGGCCTTGTCGCAATATGTGTGTACTAGGAACACAGAACCACTGAGGCGGCCGCATCGAGGGAAACCGAGAGGAAGGCGCGAACGTCCGAGGCGGGAAACTGCGCGATATGCTCCCGGTATGGTTCAACGCCCAGTGATACCGCAATCGCTAATTGTTAGCCGCCGACGCGATAAGGCCGGACGGTCTATGGGACGACGAACGGGGACGACGGCCGACGCTGAACAAAGGCTGCTCTGTACACGAAAACTATCTTTGTATACCAACAACTTGCCGAACTAACCGAATAGGTTAGAACGACGAGTAAGTCAACCGTGTGGTAAGAGTATCGACAGGTGTCGGACTACCTAGTTGAGTTGCCATCTCTATGAAATGAGACAGGGCTTTCCTGTTAATCGCCTCCTGGGATACGTACTAGAGCGACTTTTGGGAAGTGTTTTCTTACAGAAAATACTATTACGACGAGAGCATCACCCGAACGAAGACATGAGAATGAAGGTAGCTGCTAATCGATCTTTTAACGGGATTTTAATCGAGATAGTCTACATAAAAAAGCAAATATAAATCCTTTCACATTTGTTCTTATACGATCTGCTTGATGCTATCGATGGACCTTAAAAATAACAAACATCCGCGCAGAACGAGAAGTTACAGCATTCTCCAAAGCTCCCTGATAAGTTGATGCCTGTCCACAAAGAAGCGTGGTGTTTCAGGCATGACATCACCGACTTTTCGTATTACGCAAGCAGTCCTAATCTTATCTAAGGCGACGACTTACTCGATGGATTGACTGTTCTCTATGGAGGCCTGTTTTTATGATGCGGTCGATGCCTCGCAATTTAAGACCGAAAAATGAAAGCGGTGTGCTGTAGTGGGGCCATACGGTACTTTCCGCTATTGCACTAATGGGTAACCTCATCATATGAAGTAATCTGTAATAACAATAGCAATCTATTACATCGGAGACCGGAATACACTCGGAGATCTTTTTAAAGAGATTAATATACTCACTGTTGCGTCCCAATATATTTATTGTAATATTTTGTATGTTACAAATAATCTTAATTGTTACCTAAATAATAGTGATAGACATAAATTAAATACTAGAAATAAGGACAAATTAATTACGCCATTGTTTCGTCTACAAAAAGTTAATAGATCGTTCATGGGGCAAAGGGTGCGCATATAAAATAAAATCCCACAGTCGATATTAAATCTGCCACTAGATCAATTTAAAGGCAAAATTAAAATTGAACTTATGGCTAAGGCGTATTATAATCGGAATATCTTGACGACGCCAATGTGTGGGGTTAATACTGTTGATACTCACGTAGGCTAAAGTAATATTTATAGGTACCTATCCTATTATATTGTAAACTAATCGATTTAAGAACAAGAGCAACTGTTGAGTTTCTTGCCGATTTCTTCTCAACAAAAACTGCTTTCCGAACCGGTGGTAGCTTACTTAGGAACGTATTAATTTTTATGTAAAATGTTGACGTTTCATAAGAACGCGCAAGCGTGTCTATGTGAATAAATATATTTTTGATTGATTTGAATCAGACGTCATAGAATACCAGCGTATTGTTGCAGCTACATATTACATTATACTACATATTACATTTCGTCCGTTGAGATTGAACGGTGGCCCATTTTCTTAAACGTCAACGCAACTGCTATAACAATATTCTGGTTGTTCATATACAACATCTTGACAAACACAACATCTTTACGGTAAAGTGCACGCTCCATATTGTATTTACGACCATTAGCTTCACGAGTGCCAGGTTCAATAAACACCCGACACCAATAAAAATGGAATTCTGAATTCGAATAGCATGGCATTTATGAAGTTTATAGTTTGATCGGGTTCGAGTTAGATCAAGTCTACATTATTTCAATAGCGTTCTGGTCAGAATTTGCCTACCAGCGCCGCCTGAAAAGTTCTTAGCCGACTTAGCCACAACAACGTCGACTAAAATAGACCGCTCAGACGGGTAAATAATCGGAGACGGATTTGTGTTAGGGGGTAACACAATTCCGTGCGTACGCACACGAAAGCTGCAATCTATGAAGTGTGGGGGTGAGGTATGGGGGAGGGGGAGGGTGGGGGGGGGGAGAAGGTCGCCTTGGGAGGGCGATGCACCTGCTCCCTCCCGCGGGAGTGGGAGGTGCGCCGGGGCCATCCACCTGTCGCGTCTGCTATCCCGGCGCGCTCCTTTCACCACACCAGATAGAGGGATATTTTCTGATTGAAAATAACCGGACGACACACGGCACGTGTCGCATTGCCGCTTCGACTAACTGTTGAAGTCATCTACCCAATCCTCAAATCAGCGGGCGAGTGAGGAATATTCCCGAAAAGAAAACAGCTGACAAGTCTATTGGCGCTTGCCATCAATGATGTTTTAATAAATTTGACGCTTGTCTATACTGCGCGGTGTTAAAAAATTATTCCACTTTACATTATATGGCATCTATAAGTGAACGTGACAGATTACATAAAGCGTATGATAAGGCAAGAGATAGCAGTCTACAGAATTGCAATCTAATTACACCAATTGCTGTAAATTGAGTGCCTCAGTTTCGGTGTCATAAATTAAAATAGCTCGATGAAACGTGAACAGCATTAGATGTAATTTTTACAGATTAACGCTCAGTTGATCGTTAGTTTTTTAAAATATGCTTTCGCGGCCAGATTGTAGTGATATTAGTGGGCGTCAACACGCGCACTCAGTCGTGAAACGCATAAACGTCACGTAAACAACTATACGGTTGTCACTGGCCTAATGGGCAGCAAAAAGGTTTACGCATTATGGACGGTGATGAATTGAGTACCTCTACTGTATTTTGTAATAAATTGTATGTGTCTCTATCAAAAGTCGTTCGCCTTAACCTTCCATACCTTTCGCAGTAAATAGTTTTCGTCATTTATGCACAGCCTTCATTAAAATAAATCTCAACATAGAAATTATTTCTGAACTTTAATATTTTCTTGCAAATTAAAAAGGGAAGGATGAATGAGGGCTTCAGCATATTCCTTATTCAATTCATACGCTTCAACGATCGCCTCCCTATTATACATTTAAAGGTTTCATCTATCCAAAAGCGATCTTAACATGTCTATGTAAATACATATGGACCCACAACTAATTTATCATAGTTTAGTCCACTGCTGGACATAGATCTCGTCCACAGACAGGCAGGAAGCACGATCCGGAGCCATCTGCTTCGCGAGCCGACTTCGCGAACATTTTCACAGGTCATCACTCAATCTAGCGGGGGGTCGTTCTACACTACGTTTTATATTCGTAAGTTACATTAATGGTATTAAATTCAATAACAACATATCATCTATCCCTGTTTACATGTTAAATCTACAAATAATATGAACTTTATTCAAAATATAATAAAATAAATTTAGAATCAATGATAGGCTTCTTTCTTTTAATAAATATGTTTATCAGATAAATGCGTTAGATAAAGTCTAACTTATTGTTGATTAAATGTCAAAACAAAATTTTCCACGTCAAGTTCATCCTACACTGAGATGGGCAATACGAGGCTGCCAATCGAGAACCAGTCCTAACTTTCTAACTCCCACTGGTACCCCATTGGTCATCCATTCTACGTACTGTATGGCCAGCCAGTTGCCATATAGTTGCCAATATTCAGGTCTACTTTGTTCTACTGCGGACTTCTGTGTTGTGCACTCTGTGTTTATATGTGTGTACATATAATTATAGAAAAATGATCGAGCAGCATCTGAAAAACTCGAGTAATGAGGTCCACATACACACAATGTTTTTTTTTTCAAGAAGATATTACATCTCTGTCATAGGAGACTACATGCTACGAATAGTCCAGTGCTGACTTATCACGTGCTCAGCAGTGAAGCAAAGCTACATGTTTTCGTAATAATATCAAAAAAATATATCCATATGTGAAGTTTGCGAATCCGCAGTGGAGTACAGAGCAGGCCTTTGCCCAACAATGGGAATAAGCCATATTATACTATAACTGTCGCCCATGGAAGCCAAATTTTAAAAGACCTCGCTCACTCCACGCAACTCGAACGTATGAATGGTAATGATTTACGCGGACATAAGGTAGTGATAGTCCCGGGCTCATAGAATAGGGCTAAGGTATCCGATGCCTGTTGTAAAAGGCGACTAAAAGGGGACATGGATGGGCAGCAGCACGAAGTGAAGATCCCCGAGTCCCTCCTAATGTACGGAAAGTGGCCACCGAAGGGATTATAACCCTGTCATGTTGTTGGGGAATCTTCGGAAGATACCCTGTTGACAGGGTATCTTTCGAAGATTCGCCCCCCCCCCCCCCCCCCCCCGATACCAAAAAAAAGGGAGTGATACTCCTGATGCATTCGTGCAGAACGATCCACTCCTTTATTGTACTACCACAGTTCAATTTCGTCGCATTCGCGAACTGTACACACACGACGCCGCGTATTGGGAATGGCGGGCGTGGCGTGGCGTTGCACAAACAAAGCTCTGCAACGACAGCTGCGAACCGGCCGCAAGAAAAATCCGCGCCATATACGCGCCGCGCGAGGTTGATCGCCGTGCAATTATTGGATTCGTGTCACGGACGTTGCGAGATTTAATGTTTGCGAGCGCTGCGGGTTATTTTAACCCCGTTTCGTTCACAAAGATCGTCGACCGCCACTCGGTTTTTTTAAAATGTTAAAAGTTGCCAAGCGAGCAGGCGGTTCACCGGATGTTAAGTGTACCTGATGTTAATGTACACCCGAGTGTTGCAGATGCGTTGACAACCTTTTGAAAATTGGACTCCGGCCACCTCACTCACCAGACGAAACGCGAAAGTATAATACTTACACTTCACGCCGGTCTTCTGTGAAGTCGTGGTACTTACCCTGACGAGCCTACCCATTCGTGCAACAGCCGAGGCTGCTGCGTGGCCTACCGCAGTTTAACTATTACTTAAAATCAGGTGAACCGCCAGCTCACTTGCCACCTTCATACATAAAAAAAACATATCTGGCGGTGAAAAAAAGTCTAAGGGCCTAAAGAAACTGTCAAAATCAAAAAATGTTAAGTTTAATTAGGGCTAGTTTTAAATGTATATGTTGTACTATAAAGTGTTCGTACCGAACAACCATAGTATAATTTTCCTCATCATATATAGCCTATAAGAACATAGTAAACATAAGAATAAAAAGCTAACATCTCTCAGCAACGAACGTTACCTCACATTGACGACGAGTACGTCACATTAGCAAGTGGCGTTAGCTATCGCTAGTTGAAAAAAAAAACCGATACAGAATCAAACAATGCGTTTCTTACTCATCGCCGAGGTGAATTTATAGCGAGGATTGCACTCCAACAAGAAGCGTCGCTTAGGAAGCGATGCGTCACATTCCAGCGCGGCATTGAGTACTTTATTACCAGGCATTCGAGTTCAAATTCCCGTCGGTCGATGTGAATTTGCAAGCACGTGACTCACTACACAAGTCAGGACGTCTAACTGGAAGCTAGGCGCACCTCTCTGTAGTGACGGCGCCAGGAGTCCGCCCGTAAGTGCCCAGCGCATCCTAGAGCTATAGAATTAGCCGGGGAGGCATTCCGAGGCGGTTGCTTTTCACCGCCTTTTTATTCCACATCTCGAATGTTCTAAAAGCTTTCTTATAGACTTCAATTTCCGCGGAATACTTCGAAATCATCAAATTAACAAAGTGCACACAGATTCGGCACAGCTATTTGGTCAACGCACAAAATTTTATCCCGCTCGGGCATCGAACCCACAATCTAAAACGTTGTCGTACCTAAGGAGTTTCTTTCGCCTGTTTCTTCTCCGTCAGAGGAACCTCATTACGGTGGTAGATTAAAAAAAAAAGACTATCGATAAATGAAATGTAAAATACATTACAATGAAAAATACATCTTATATCGATGAATAAATAATTTTGATTTTTTATTTTCATTTTGTTGAACTATCTAAACTATTAAGCTCATATCTTGCCACTAGTACTTTTATCGTTTTTACAGACACTAGATCCGCCCGCAAATGCCCAGCGCATCCTAGAGCTATAGAATTAGCCGGGAAGGCATTCCGAGGCGGGGTCTTTACTGCATCTTTTTTTCTGCTTCTCGAATGTTCTCAATATATTAGACTTCAATTTATTGTCGCCTGTAACAATGGCATAGAGACCACAACATTGTACGATGGAGTCCTATGCAAAATTTTTAAATTATAAACACGCTATTTTCAATGGTGGCTTAATACCTGGTGTCTTCGGATCATTATATTGAGTTATATTCTATTTTCAGTAGCGTGCAGCGGTGATTTTCTATTTTTTGGGCTTTTTGGCAGCCTTAAATTCGCTGCCCCACCAAACCAACATCAAATCGATGTTACCACCTCGCACATTAGGGTTCAAACAAGCTCTTTCTCCCGCAATTTCGCTTAACACTTTAAAAGCGTTATCCCGTACCTGTTCTAGATGTTTCTTATCAGTCATTTGTTCGCTCATCGAGCTGCGGGTTATCGTTGCTTTGGATACGTTCTAGCTCGGTAAACAGTGGCTTGTTTATATTTAATCGTTGTATACAGGCGGTCGCTTCGTGCCTATATTGAACAACTCACGCTCGGTGTGGCGACGCGTGGGGCGAATCGAGCATTAGCACACACTCGTCACTACAAACGGACACTTTGACATCTCCGAATAATATTATCGAATAAATTAATATTTCAGTCACATTTTTACACCATTCTAGTCCCAAACTAAGCAACGCCTGTACTATGTGTACTAAATAATAAACATACCTAGTTTTTTTTAAAATAAGTACATATCATAAATATATAAATACCTAGACACTGGAAAAACACTATGTTTATCTCATTATATTTTTCCAGTAGCACGGATCGACCCGTGTGGGTTCTAGCCTATAGCGTAAAAGGCAGTTTCACTATCTACTATGTACTTCAGTTGACCAGATTTGTGGGTTCAATAAATAACAGAATTTAATGCGAATTTGATTCCGTTGATACGATCGTAAACGGAATGTAATCATTTTAATAAACAAAATCAAACAACGAAATTGCGTAACAAACAAAAACAAACAAATTTAACAAAGGTAACAAAAGAAACAAATTTATTCCTCTTTCATACCTCCATTGTTTAACTGACCAACACATACGCTGTGTTGGTCAGTTAAACAATGGAGGAGGTATTTGATTCTTGCGAATCCTAACTGCGGTAGGGCCACGCACGTATTCACTGTTGCACGTATGGGCAGGTCCGTCTAAGTACCACAACCTCACAGAAGACCGGCGTGAAATGGAAGTGTTATAAGTAATTATAACACTTCCACTTTCGTCTGGCAAAGAAGGTAGTGGCCAGGGCCCACTTTATTAAAAAGGTGACAACACATCTGCAACCCTACAAATTGTTGCAAACATCAACGCGGCGGTTATCACTTAACATCAGGTGAACCGCCAGCTCGCTTGACACCTTCTCACATACAGCACCTCCAACATTAGCCGATGCTCGTCGTCCGTTTCTGGGTGAGCACAAAACCCCGTCCAATAACAATACCTCGCATCGAGAAAATTCCTCAACACGGTGGCATGTGTTTAGCGTTGTGAGTCAGTTATCAATTATCTCGGCGTCAGCATCATCTGGGTCAACGGCCCGATGACGAGGCGGTGAGTCACTGCGGTGCAGCCTTTCCCCGCGCCGAGCTTGTCACCTGACGTCTCACAAGTAATTTGCTTTGATGGTAATGCAATTAATTTCGGTCTATTATATTCGTCGTTGTAAGATGAACCATCTTGGTTATGATTAGTAAGTAGCTTGTATTTAATATAAGCATAGTTTATAACAACTATGGTAATTTAAATAATGAATATCTGAAACACAATTTGTATACTAACTTATTCAAACCAATCTGTTAATAATTACCATTTTCCGTTTAAAGGCTTACAGATAAAACTAAGACCAATTAAGTAAAATTATTGAAACAATTATTAAACCAATGCTATTCACTCATGATTTACAAAGATCAAAATGAATGCATCAAAATACTTAGATATCGTTTGTAATGTTCGTTACATTATACAAGGAAATTTTAAATAAATTCAGTTGTAAATTGCAACTGGCTGGATAATGTCCGTTTTAAAAATGTAGTATAAGTATTATTTTTTATATCCGAAACTGGCCAGCCCTTGACTGCCATACCACCTGATGGTAAGTGGCGATGCGACCGATGATGGTAAGCGCGCTAGCTTAATAAAACCCTATTCACTGTTGCCTACTTTCAAGTCACCTGTGAGCCGTGATTCAGTGTTCAACGCGAGACTTCAAACTGAACATGCCATTGCAACAAGACTCCAAAGTCCGATACCGCATGACCTGACCTTTGGCGTATTGTGTTTAACCAACGGTCGTACACATACGTGGAGATACGAGGATGAGGATACGTAACTCATTAAAAAAACCCGCTTTCCAACGGATGATTCACAGCGCGAGTTGGCCACCAATGCGGACATTCCATCGCTGAGGGATATCGACACGAAAGAGGGTTGAAGTCCCACGAATATTTTCGTGTGTAAAGCCTTACTCATCGACCCGAATACATAATTCTACGTACGCGGCGATAACGCACGGAACGACGACAGTTCGCTGACGCCGACGTTACCTTCCAAACTGGGCCATCGATTCGTGAGGACCAAGGCGCGATTCACACCTAACCGAACGCGTCGACACGCGTCCCTTAAAAGATGCGTCCATACTATGCCAGCCGATGTCTGATAAAACTGTATTAACGTCTAGTAATTATTTATCTTACCATGCTTCCTTTTTAAGATTTTCGAGTTTTTGAAGATCTTTTAGCGCGTTTGGAAAAAAAATATTAGAGTAAAATTTTTACGATGCGCGCTCTCACCGACCCTCGAAAAGCGACGTGATGTTTGGTAACCAATTTAATCTTGGCAAACAATTAACAACTTTTTAACATTTAACAATAATTCCAAGTTATTTAAATAAATCGTTATCAATTGCATTTAATGTCTTTACGCTTTATGCCGATTGTTCTTTCCTTCCAAGTGTTAACTAAGCACATACAGACATTGCAAGTTCCTTACCTACCGCATTATGAATTGAGTACCAATAGGCACCGACGCGCCCCGATTGCTGTGAATCGTACTTATGGACGTAAGTACGAGTTCCGATCGACATTGACAAACGTTCAGTAATAAAATATATTTCCGATCGATTTTTAACTGTAGCGTCTAACTAGAAGTTGCCAGGTGATTTCAATGAAAATGAATATATTATCTGTGTGTGTGGCGCGACAGGCGGAACACCTGACACGTTTTGAAACCACAAAGATCACAGAATTCATGATAGCATTGATTATCTTGCTTTTGACTCTTTGCTAATTGTAACGATTGTAATATGTTACATACAGTGAAAACGTCCGAGTTTGCATGCATTTTACAAATACCTAGATTCAACCGTATATTAGTCAGTAGACCATTCGTAACGTCGCGAATTGGATAACTTTATGTGCAGCCAAGGGTCTACACATAAAATTCTTTGTCGGTTGACTGGTAGAGAACACCTTATGGTGTTAAGTCCGCCATTGTACGTTATTGTGCATAAAGTTATTAAATAAATAAATAAAGAAATCCACTCAAACTGATCCGTTGTTGATATGAGAATTTTGACTACGTCCTCCCGTCGAAACAAGTCCAAATGTAAAGAATTCAACGATTCTCGACAACAGTAAAACGAAATTGAGTACGACTTTCCTGGAGGCTTCAACAATTAAGTTAACGTCGGGATTACCTGCGATAGTAGTAATCACGACAGCAGCTAATGCACTCAAGACGTTACTCATTCTTTCGAAAGTAGTCGTAAAATAATTCGCACGGCGTGTTTTAGTGTTAGTTGGCCTACCATCATCCGCTATGTTTGTTTATAAAAGAATATGTCCATTTTTCTTCTAGGACAGTGCTCCATCCATCCTATTGCCTCTGCTGAACCTACACTTCGAAAAGTTAACACTAAAATCGAAATGAGAATCGAGAGTCTAATAGAAGACGAAGGAACGAACGACTTCATGAAACGAAGATATCTGTGACCTCCAATATTCCATCTCGCGCAATACAAAGGTGCGACCACTGCCGTATTACCAACAATAAACACCGAACAATACCCAATTCAATTCCCGCAAAGTGATATTTATGCGCATCAATTATTCTCGTAGCACTAAACGTGCTCAAAGATTATCTTGTTACGATAGCTAAAAAACTATAAAGTCTATTTTATTTCATTTTACTTGCTATATTTAGCGATATTTAAATCATCCTAGCTGAACGAAATATTCTTAGTATTTGCCCTTTAATAGTTTTAGAGAATAGTAGTCCTGATTCTGAGTCGAGAATAGTAGTCATTCCTCTAAAACTTGTCAAATACATCGTTTCTCCCTATTTCTTTTTCAGCATTCTTAAAAAGCGTTGTCGATTAAAAGGTCTGCCAGTCAATTCCTTATGTTTACGCGAAACTATTAAATGAAACTATTTTTTAC